CGCAGAAAATAACCTGTCATTCAGAATATCACTACCGCTGGTAGATTCAATTAAATCATTTGCGGTTGATCAGAGTACACTGCACTAGCTGATAGGGAAACCTTTTTCATAAACATTGACGAGTCCACAAACAAATGTGACAGAAGGACAGAATTTTGAATGTCCTTTAGCGATATTTTGACAAAGACAGAGCCAAAGTGTGGACGCTCCATCTCGCCTCAAGTAAAGCCAATGTTGCGGATGCAACTACTCAAACTAATATTCTGTCAAAAAGTTGACAAGTTACTTGATCCACTTGTTGTAATTTCACATCCAAATACACCTGTAGCGTTATATCTTTGAATAATTCATTTGATCTGTATACAATATCTATTATACAATAATATATTGTAATTAAAAATATAATTCGGTCCTGCATATGACTGTGATTTACATTTGATAAATTTCCATGAGAAAATTTTCAGTCAAAACTTTTTTTTTTGCTTTAGCCCCTGGATTAATGTAATGTGTGAACAGTTGCGGAGCAGTTTTTCCAAATGCTGTTTTCCAAATACTTTCACATCCTGTTTATGTTATAATTGTTTATACAGTAAAGTGCATTTTACAGGCCAATGTCACCCAAAGCGCTTTACAATGTTCAGAAATCAGATATCTTTCCTCGCATAGTGTACAAGTGACGTGTATAAAATAATTTGGTCTTGGCATAGATTGGCATAGACTTTTTGTTACTGTTAATTTGAAAAAATGAAAACTTCTCACTCAAAAATTCTCACTAGTTCCGTAATATTCTTTTGAAACAGCACAATATAATACCATTCAATAAGTTTTGAAACGCAAGAGGATTTCTATTACTTTACTACACTAGTTGTGAATATGTAGTTCCGGTTAATTCTCACTTCTGTACTCACACTGTGTAGAACATTAGAAGTATGTGGAGATGCAATGTGATTGAGTTCACAAAGTACCACCAGATGGCGCTGTTATCTTTGAATTGTACTGAGACAGCTGCTGCACAATTATTATAGAGTTGTTGACGAATTTAAAAGAACGGAATTAATTTGAATTAAAAAGTCCAATGAACTTTCCACATTTTTACAATCATGACATAGATGAAATAATAAAGTATTTGGAATATATTTATTTGTAATGAAATTTGAATAAATGTTGTCAAAGAAATGCATGTACTCTGACAATTATGCATCACATACAAAGTAAACATGAATATGCTATTGAAAAACAACTTTTTAACCAACCATTTTGCAGAAATGTACAAATACTTCACATACTGAGTGAGTCGAAGGGTGACTGGAGATATCTTTTTCCCACGCTACTAGTTTTACATGTTCACTTTTTTTTTTTTTTTTATGATAGAGCTATATCTTGTTCCATCAGTAAATCTTAAACGGTCAAAACTATAAACAACACAATACCAAATAACCTAACCCTTCTCTAAAACGAATTCCAGCTATAATTGAATAAAGTAAATTTGCAAAAAAAAAGGAAAACAGATTAGGCCAACACTTTATTGAGTCAATTCTTTCTAATGTACAGCCCATAACAAAACACGTTAATTGTAGAGACCTTTTAATACATTTTCAAAACAGAGATATTTGTTTTTTTTTTCCAAATGACCTCTTCAATTATAAATATTGCTGACAGCTGATAAATAAATCCTGGTTCATAGCAAAATGTGTACTCCATGATACATCATTGACATTCAATCTTTTTCCATGCGATTCACACAGAAGTGGTCATTTCCAACCCATTTGGACCCCCCCCCCCCCCCCCCCTCCCATGACCCCCTCTATTAGAATATTCTGGTCTAATGTTCTGTAATATACTGTACATGTGGCCTAGCTGTTTTAACATGGGTGAGTTTTGTGTGATACTGAGAGAGGTCGCTGGTTTCACACTGGGGTCACTGGTGTGCGTTGATGGTGAGTGCGGTGGTGGTGAAGGAGTATGGGCTGAGCAGCAGAGCCAGGGTGTAGTGACGGTGCCCCTCTGTGTGAGCCTCGAACACAACCTGCAACACAAAACAGCTTATGTTGTGAGTTTATGGACATTTATTGACGTTAGACGGCATTCTTAAGCTGCTCAAATGACTTTTAAGGACTATAAATACTTTAGAAACGGCATAATTGTTTGTTGAGGGACTAATGTTTGTTGGTTGTTTACTTAATAAGGTTTGTTTGTTGTTTACTTTTGAATTGGCTGGAAAATAGCTGCAAGTCCTGAGTAGCTCTGAAACCGTTGTTTTGTGCTTTTGAATTTTAATTTTTATCGCTTTTTCTACCTGAGATGTTGATGGTTTTACACTGGTCCAGACCTGAACAGAGAGGATTCATGGTCCGAACCAAACGGATCATGGTGAAAATCCACTGGTGGAATGCTAACTTTGAGAAAAATGCTAATGAAGCATTTAGTATTTTACTTTGGACTAGAGCAGAGAAAATGGTCCGAACCAAGTGGCTACTCCACCTTGTGACCTGTCCTGCTCCACCCAGCGGTTACTCCATCTCTGCTGCTGTGAGCCGTCATGTGCCACCCAGAGGCTACTCCACTTCTTCTGCTGTGACCTGAAGGGCTGTTTCTGATTATTACTATTTTTAACTTTTTAGAATGATCAAATTTATATTCTGTTTTTGCTGCTACTGGAATTTCTCCTACAGGGATCAAAAAAAGTATCTATCTATCTACCTATCTAATACTCAAGGCAAAATGTTGCTATGGTAACTAGAACTTGCTATTCGCTGGTGGAAAACCAAGCTGACTAGACTCAGGACCAATCCAGGACCAGCACCATAAAAGGGGCTTCAGCATCCTTAGAATTGTGTTTACCAAGCATCATATAATTGCTACATTAGAGTTTTTGTTTGGATGAAAGGTAGAACTACTCACATTTAAAAAATAAAAGTGATTTTCAACAACAAAAAAATACATACAACAGTTAAACAGAAATTTGTGATAAGTTCAAGTTCAATTAGTAAATTACAATTTTAAATAAAAATAGTGGGAACAGGCTTTTGCCTACAAAGATTGTGTAACATTTTCTACCTTAAACCTATATAACCAAAAGTTCTCCACTCTTTATGAGGTTCTCTTTGGCATTCAACACCAGGCCAGAGACAAGGGTCACACCTTAGACCAAGCTAATTAAGTGATAATTATTGGACCATTTATGATTAATGAGCTCTTAATTGTTATTTATCAAGCACCCATTAGTCCTTATTCTATTTTCTACACTTAACTATTGCCTGGCACTTTCATGTTTGTAAGGGTTAGAGCTGGGGTACACTAATTAGCACTTCATTAACGGTTATTGAGGGCTAATCTAAAGTGTTACCACACATTTTTTGGTCTATATACATATACAGGCCTTTTAAAAATAAAATGTGCTATACAAATAAATGTGGATTGATTGATGGATGGATTAACTTGTCACGCAGATGTATGTTGGAAACATCCTGCCTGAATGCACAACTATCTGAGCACAATTGACCAGGTGTGTACTCACCACGCACACTCATTGAACAATATGCAAATCTTTTGGCACACGATCTTTTGTGTGAGCTAACCAGACAGACACCCACACAATTCCACACAGCAGATCACAACAACCATGTTTTATTTGTTGCCATGGCGTCCAAATAATAATTTAATATAATTTAGTTAATCTTGGATGATCAATTTATGGCCAATAAATAAACTCTAACCGGCTCCAGGCTTCAGATGGTAAAATTAAAGTTGTCAGTGTTTTTTTTTTAAAGTCCCATTTAGCAGAGAAAAATTAATCCCAGGATTACAAACCCATCCCACCAACAATTACCCAGGATTAGATTCTATTAAAAAAAATGAAACAAAGAAATGTACATTTCAAAACACTTTCCTTTGTGAACAGAAGAATAGACATGGGGAGTCTATTCAATTCAGGGAATTGCAATCCGACTAAAATGAGAAAAAAGAGCTGCTTAGGTGTTTGGGAATGGTCCAAGAGAAGCTACAATCAAAACTATTGCAAAACAGCAGAAGTTTGACCTAGTTTAGTTGTAGATGTTTTGTCAGAGGCTTTGTTGTGCCAGTGTGTTCAGAGTCTGGCTTCCGTCATCACCGGGAGGAGAGAGAATGGAACGATATCAGAACTCTGAACATTGTAAAGCGCTTTATAAGTGCTATATAAAAACAAATTACTTGCTTACTTACTACTAACCAGGCGCCCGAAAGCGGGCGCCTGGTGGCCGGGCCTCAGCCCACGGGGCCCGGCCGGGCTCAGCCCGAAAGGACGACGTGGGCAGTCCCTCCTGTGGGCCCACCACCCGCAGAGGGGTCCGTGGCGGCTCGGTGCAGAGAGGACTGGGCAGCAGTCGAAGGCGGAGACCTCGGCGACCCAGTCCGCACACCCAACATCTAGCTCTTGGGACGTGGAACGTCACCTCACTGGGGGGGAAGGAGCCTGAGCTTGTGGGGGAGGTCGAGAGGTACCGACTAGAGATAGTCGGCCTCACCTCCACACACAGCTTGGGCTCTGGAACCCAACTCCTTGAGAGGGGTTGGACGCTCCACTTTTCTGGTGTATCTCGCGGGGAGAGGCGGCGAGCTGGGGTGGCCATACTCATTGCCCCCCATCTCAGCCGCCACGTGAAGGAGTTCTCCCCGGTGAATGAGAGGGTCGCTTCCCTCCGCCTTCGGGTGGGGGACAAGTCTCTCACTGTTGTGACGGCCTACGGGCCTAACAGCAGTGCAGAGTACTCGGCCTTCTTGGAGTCCTTGGGAGGGGTACTGGACAGTGCACCGCCCGGGGACTCCGTCATTCACCTGGGGGACTTTAACGCCCATGTGGGAAGCGCCAGTGACACTTGGAGAGGGGTGATCGGGAAGAACGGCCCCCCTGATCTGAACCCGAGTGGTGTTCAGTTGTTGGACTTCTGTGCTAGTCACGGTTTGTCCATCACGAACACCATGTTTGAGCACAAGGGTGTCCACCAGTGCACGTGGCACCAGGACACCCTAGGCCGGAGGTCGATGATCGACTTTGTTGTCGTATCATCTGACCTTCGGCCGCGTGTTTCGGACACTCGGGTAAAGAGAGGGGCAGAGCTGTCAACCGATCACCACCTGGTCGTGAGTTGGATCCGCTGGCAGGGGAGGAAGCCGGTCAGACCTGGCAGACCCAAGCGTGTAGTGAGGGTTTGCTGGGAACGTCTCGCTGAGACCCCTGTCAGACGGACTTTCAACTCACACCTCCGGGAGAGCTTCTCCCAGGTCCCGGCGGAGGAGGGGGATATTGAGTCTGAGTGGACCATGTTCTCTTCCTCTATCGCCGATGCGGCGGCTCGTAGCTGTGGTCGCAAGGTCTCTGGTGCTGGTCCCGGCGGCAACCCCCGAACCCGGTGGTGGACACCGGCAGTAAGGGATGCCGTCAGGCTGAAGAAGGAGTCCTATCGAGCCATGATGGTTCGGGGGACTCCTGAGGCAGCTGTCCATTACCGGCAGGCCAAGCGTGCCGCGGCCCGGGCTGTTGCAGAGGCAAAAACCCGGGACTGGGAGGAGTTCGGAGAGTCCATGGAGCATGACTATCGGTCGGCCTCGAAGAGATTCTGGCAAACTGTCCGGCGCCTCAGGAGGGGGAAGCAGTTCTTTGCCAACACCGTGTACGGTGCGGGGGGTGAGCTGCTGACCTCGACCGGGGATATTGTCGGACGGTGGAAGGAATACTTCGAGGTTCTCCTCAATCCCCCCGTCACGTCCTCCGCTCCGGAGGCAGAGGCTGAGGATGTTGGGGCGGATACTTCTGTCACCCTGGCAGAGGTCACCAAGGTGGTTGGCAGCCTCCTTGGTGGCAAGGCGCCGGGAGTGGATGAGATCCGTCCTGACTATCTAAAGTCTCTGGATGTTGTAGGACTGTCTTGGCTGACACGTCTCTGCAACATCGCGTGGCGATCGGGGGCGGTGCCAATGGAGTGGCAGACCGGGGTGGTGGTTCCTCTCTACAAGAAGGGGGACCGGAGGGTGTGTTCCAATTATCGTGGGATCACACTCCTCAGCCTCCCTGGTAAGGTTTACTCCAAGGTACTGGAGAGGAGGTTACGGCCGATGGTCGAATCTCGGATTCAGGAGGAGCAGTGTGGTTTTCGTCCCGGCCGTGGAACACTGGACCAGCTCTACACTCTCCATCGGATACTCGAGGGTTCATGGGAGTTCGCCCAACCTGTCCACATGTGCTTTGTGGATTTGGAGAAGGCGTTCGACCGTGTTCCCCGGGGTGTCCTTTGGGGGGTCCTCCGTGAGTACGGGGTCCGGGGTCCTCTGCTGAGGGCCGTCCGGTCCCTGTATGACCGGAGCCAGAGCTGCTTGCGCATTGCCGGCAGTAAGTCAGACCTGTTCCCTGTGCACGTTGGCCTCCGCCAGGGCTGCCCTTTGTCACCGGTTCTGTTCACTGTATTCATGGACAGAATTTCTAGGCGCAGCCAAGGGTCGGAGGGGGTCCGGTTCGGGGACCACAGGATTTCATCTCTGCTGTTTGCAGACGATGTTGTCCTGTTGGCTCCAACGAACCAGGACCTACAACATGCACTGGGACGGTTTGCAGCCGAGTGTGAAGCGGCTGGGATGAGAATCAGCACCTCCAAATCTGAGGCCATGGTGCTCGACCGGAAAAAGGTGCCCTGCCCTCTTCAGGTGGGTGGAGAGGCCCTTCCTCAAGTGGAGGAGTTCAAGTATCTCGGGGTCTTGTTCACGAGTGAGGGAAGGATGGAGCGTGAGATTGACAGGCGGATCGGTGCAGCGTGCGCAGTGATGCGGTCGCTGTATCGGACCGTTGTGGTGAAGAGGGAGCTGAGCCGAAAGGCAAAGCTCTCAATTTACCGGTCAATCTTCGTTCCCTCCCTCACCTATGGTCATGAGCTTTGGGTAATGACCGAAAGAACAAGATCGCGGATACAAGCGGTCGAAATGAGCTTCCTCCGCAGAGTGGCTGGGCGCTCCCTTAGAGATAGGGTGAGGAGCTCAGTCACACGGGAGGAGCTCGGAGTAGAGCCGCTGCTACTCCACGTCGAGAGGAACCAGTTGAGGTGGCTCGGGCATCTGTTCCGGATGCCTCCTGGACGCCTCCCTGGGGAGGTGTTCCGGGCACGTCCCACCGGGAGGAGGCCCCGGGGAAGACCCAGGACACGCTGGAGGGACTATGTCTCTCAGCTGGCCTGGGAACGCCTTGGAGTCCCCCCGGACGAGCTGGAGGAGGTGTGTGTGGATAGGGAAGTCTGGGCGTCTCTGCTTAGACTGCTGCCCCCGCGACCCGGCAACGGATGAAGCGGAAGAAAATGGATGGATGGATGGACTTACTACTAAGTGAAAAGAGTGGGCAAGAATGGAAAACAATGTTTCAGACCACAAAAAGTTAGAATTGTAGTAGCCTTTCTCATGTCAACCATAAAAGGTGAGCAGAATACAAGGCCCAAGTGTAGTTTAGGCTTTTGCGTTGCGTCGGTCCTATTCAATAATTCTCCCTCAAGTTCTTCTCTTGATTATAGTTTTGATCTCCAACACACAAGTTTGAACGCGCCTGAGAAACACATAGGCCTCCGAGTGCCACTCACGTCTGCGACCTCGTGGAACGCCGTGGTGCCTTTGCTCTTCCAGTAGGCTTTGGTGTCAAACTCCACTCGGTACACCCCTGCCGTGAACTGCTCCTCTGTCATCAGCTCATGGATCTCCCCCGTCACCTCCGTCACCCTGCGCACAGACGTTACAAAAATAAACAAACAAAAAAGTACAACAAAGTTAAGTTGACGGACTAAATAAAGCCCTATACTCTACAAACAATATGAGGCCAGTCTGCCATTTTGTCAGAGTCAGAGATACAGTATGGGCACAGGAGAAGGTGAAGAATTACTGAAAAAGATTCAGAAGAGATCCTGTATTCGTCCCACAGTGGGGAAATTTCAGTGTTGCATCACGTTACAGACAGTAGGAATGAGGAACACACAACACAAGATGAGTGAATGATAACTCTGTGCCAAAATAAAATTAAATCTCTAACTCTATACGATATGAAGCAGTTAAAATCTCTTTCTTTGGCACATAAGGAAATACATTTAAAAAAATCCATCTTTAGCATAAAATGTGTATGATTCAAGAAATTATTCCTAACAATATTTACATTGTGTGTGTACTTTTCTCAGCTCTCAGTCTGCTTCCATCAGGGCACGGGCACAGGTCCCTCCCACTCCTCCCACTCCTCCCCTCCTCTACTGCATTTCTGGACTTTTAATGTATTCTTGTATCAATGTGTCAGTGTGTTTTTATGGATCCTCAAAGATAAATAGCTATTTGATTTGAATCAAATTGAATTGTCTCGTTTCACATAGTTTTTATTGTGAAACGTCCATTATTTTTACAGTCCTCTGATTGTGTTTGTCTTCAGCTTTTGTCTATTTCTGCTTGTTTGCACCTACATGCAATTATTCAACCCTTTACAGTAGTTACAAATTGAATGTACTGTGATTATTTATGATTTTAATGTCTGGTGTCTGATTGTGACTGATCTATCTTGTTTTGTTAAGCACTTTGAGTTGCCTTGACTTGCCTTTAAAAAGGTCAAACTAAAATTTGAAACAAAAACCCTATCTGTCTAATGGATAGATAGATACTTTAGCTAGATATATAGATAGATAGATGTGTATTTTGGTCTGTGAAAGGCGGTATATAAATACAGATTATTTACTTAACTAACTGCAATGTTATTATATGCTTTGATTATACTCTAAGTCCTGCATCGTGTGGCCTCGGTCCTCGCTCTGTAGCCTGAGGCCTGGATTGCTAGCCTGTCCGTTAGTGGGAGTAGATCCCTCTCTCAATGTGCGCCTCCCATAGGTTTCTCACTTTTTCCCATTGGGTTTTTTAATAGAGTTTTTAGAGAGAGAGTCTAAGTCTCTAAGTAAGTAAGTAATCTTTATTTATATAGCGCATTCTTACAAACCAAGGTAATCCAAAACACTTTAGAATGTTCAGAGTTCAGAGGTCCATGACAGTGGTGATGAATTAGGACATTTATGGACATTTATCAAAATATATGGACCAATGGCTTTGTGTATTTTTTTTAATTATTTAATTTTGTTAATAAAAAAGAGAACATAAATACGGACATAACAGACAAAAATATGTGTTTTTTATCTTTGCATTTCTTGTGTTTGAACTGTTTGATTCTGTGATCTGTGCTGGTGAATTAAACAGTTATGTAAAGTCCTCCGAGATAACTACTGTTGTGATTTAGAGCTATACAAGAAGACATTGAATTTGAATATGTGTGTTATCTATAAAGAACCAACCCACTTAACCGTCACATGAGGGTTGGGCATCGTTTGCAATTTTCCGATTCCGATTCCGGTTCCGATTCTCACTATCGATTCCTGTTCTAAACGATTCTCGATTCCGATTCTTTGAGGTGCAGGAGAGAAAAAAAAAAGATAATTTTTTATCAAATTTTATTTCATAAGTACTTTTCCTGCCAAAAGGCAACAGAAAGTGCTTTACATTAAAACAAATTAAATTAAAAAACAAGGAACACGAACGAACACACACACACACACACACACACATACGCGTTTGCTTGACAAATGAGGACCTATGTCTGCACTGTGACATATCAGGACGTGCCTTTCTGAAGGTCCCAGAGACCTGAGGATCACATAGGGGGGAGCAGGGTGTGATCAGTAACACAGCTAGCTGTTGATATTTTGGTTAAAAGAAACTTTTTTCCCGCATATGAGGACCTTGACAGGTCTGAGTGACATATTAGGACCTACAACAAACACATCCGGTCTGAGTGACATATTAGGACCTACAACACACACATCAGGTCTGAGTGACATATAAGGACCTACAACACACACATCAGGTCTTAGTTAGATATTAGGACCTACAACACACACATCAGGTCTGAGTGAGATACTAGGACCTATAACACATGCATCAGGTCTGAGTGAGTTATTAGGATCTTCAGCAAACACATCAGGTCTGAGTGAGATATTAGGACCTATAACACACACATCAGGTCTGAGTGAGATATTAGGACCTACAACACACACATCAGGTCTGAGTGATATATTAGGACCTACAACACACACATCAGGTCTGAGTGAGATATTAGGACCTATAACACACACATCAGGTCAGAGTGAGATATTAGGACCTACAACACACACATCAGGTCTGAGTGAGATATTAGGACCTATAACACACACATCAGGTCTGAGTGAGATATTAGGACCTACAACACACACATCAGGTCTGAGTGAGTATATTAGGACCTACAACACACACATCAGGTCTGAGTGAGATATTAGGACCTATAACACACACATCAGGTCTGAGTGAGATATTAGGACCTATAACACACACATCTAGGTCTGAGTGAGAGATATTAGGACCTATAACACACACATCAGGTCTTAGTGAGATATTAGGACCTATAACACACACATCAGGTCTGAGTGAGATATTAGGACCTATAACACACACATCAGGTCTGAGTGAGATATTAGGACCTACAACACACACATCAGGTCTGAGTGAGATATTAGGACCTACAACACACACATCAGGTCTGAGTGAGATATTAGGACCTACAACACACACATCAGGTCTGAGTGAGATATTAGGACCTACAACACACACATCAGGTCTGAGTGAGATATTAGGACCTACAACACACACATCAGGTCTGAGTGAGATATTAGGACCTATAACACACACATCAGGTCTGAGTGAGATATTAGGACCTATCAGCAAACACATCAGGTCTGAGTGAGATATTAGGACCTTCAGCAAACACATCAGGTCTGAGTGAGATATTAGGACCTACAACACACACATCAGGTCTGAGTGAGATATTAGGACCTACAACACACACATCAGGTCTGAGTGAGATATTAGGACCTATAACACACACATCAGGTCAGAGTGAGATATTAGGACCTATAACACACACATCAGGTCTGAGTGAGATATTAGGACCTACAACACACACATCAGGTCTGTGAGTGAACTACATTTCCCATGATGCACAGTTAATATTGTAGTTCCCAGGGTCTCCCATAGCCAATGTTCAGAGCTGTTCTTTACAGTGTTAGGGGCGGAGCTGTGCGCTGCGTCATGCCAACCATCAATAATCCTGTGTGTAATAAGTTCTGTGGCGTCTTATGCTAAAGTGAGACCATGTCCAATCTATATTTAAGCTCCATTTCTAACGTTTAATGTCACGCTTTCCTCCTTGTAGCTACAACACTGGTGCGCCACTGAATTACTGTAGAGCACTCCATAATAAGCCCTGCTATATGTGATAATGTACATATGTGTGGACTGGTGGTGTGTATAGTTTAGAACAGCCCGTGTCTGCTACACATAATTGCCTTTTCAGTATAAAGTTCACGTAACACCTTTTATAGAGTTTAGAGCGCCCCTTGTGGGCTACGGTTGTAATGTCACTCATTGATTACAGTGTATCTTCTTGTTTCATAGTCTAAAACAGGGTCCAAAGTTTTTAGCCCCCATAAATGCCCTAACCCGCGACCCCCCCCCCCCCCCCCCCCCAACAGCCCTTTCGTCACATGAAATGAGCATGTATTTCCTTGATACGGAGTAACGCTTTCTAGAGACTCACGCCACTACCGAGCTGCACTGTCCAGCCCAAAAAAGGAGGCTTGCATATTTTTACTCATGTAGTGACACAGTGATGGGCTTGGTGGGCTCCCTCCTCAGCAGAAGTGGAGCGCATTTCTTGCGGCTCGCCCTCACTGTTCTCCTACCGCGGTAAAGTGGGCCGGCTTTCCGGAGTCAGCGGTAAAGAGGTCCGCACATTAAAAGCGGGCGGCCGCTTTCTGCTGTTACTTTATGCGGTTCATCCCCGCGGCTTCTCTTTCCAAAGTTACTGTCAGTAAAGGCATAAACCGGCCACCCGCTTTTAATGTGCGGACCTCTTTACCTTTGACTCCGAAAAGCCGGGCCTCTTTAACGCGCTGTTCTACCGCTGTCCTCCCTCCCTCCCTTCCTCTCTGCCTGCCCTCTCTCCCTCCCTCCTTTGCCCTCTCTCCCTCTCTTCGCACCATCAGCCTGACCCCTGATACAAGTGACTTTTCTCCCCCTCCGGGTTTTTCTGTTGTGGATATTAACCACGTTTCATTTTAAAGCAGGTATTATTTATTTGTAGCCTCCAAACACCTTTAGTTTTAGCAAACAACAGCAGGACACGCTTTGTCGCTGCGCATGATGTGAGCTGTGTTACGTGATGATTTTGATTGACGCTGCAATGACTGGGACAAAATTACTAACGTTATTAAAATATATTTTATAAATATATTATAAAATATATATAATAATATATATAAATGCTAAATAAATATTTAAGGGCTTTATATTTGCTCAAAAAAAAAATCTTTTTTTTTTTTTTGGGCAAAAAAAATCTTTTTTTGTGTGTGTGGAAATCATCTTGCGACCCCCCCAGGGGTTCCCGCGACCCCCCGGGGGGTCGGGACCCCCACTTTGGGAACCACTGTACTAGGGGGTACTATTTTTGATGGAAAAGCAGGCAAACCGGGTCGTGCCGCGCCGTGTAGAGTTGATACGAAGCGTACCATTACTGTGGAAAAGCGGCATAACTGTCCAACAGACCCTCCTGCATCGGCAAGGAAAAACTCACAAAAACCCAGTGGGAAATAAGTGAAAGGGATCCGCTCCCACGGACGGACATGCTATAGATCCAGTATCTAAGCTACAAAACGTGGACCAGTGGCCGCTGAACGTGGACAGGTCCGGTGCAGGACTGAAGCGCTCCCAGGCGGGTCGGGCGGGGCAGTCCGCAGGTGTAGATGGAGGAGGCCAGGTTTAGAGGTCCCGTCATCGTACCATGAAACAGACAATGGAACAACGGGTGAATAGCAATGAACAGACTACAGTCAAAATCCTGATAATGCAAAACAGATAAAGTAGGAAGGAGGAGAGGATAGTGCTCAAGTTACCATACTTTTCCCAGAAAACTGACTGCCTATGCAGCTTGACTGACAGTCTAAGACAGGGGTCACCAACGCGGTGCCCGTGGGCACCAGGTCGCCCGTAAGGACCAGATGAGTCGCCCGCTGGCCTGTTCTAATAATAGCTCAAATAGCAGCACTAAAGTCTAGTGTAGTCGCGCGGCGCGAAGCTTCGGAGGTGACGTGACGTAACTTGCGTAACGCGTGGATCACCGCAAGGCCCTTACGTAGCCTGCCGCGCACCCTCGAACATGCAGACAAGCTCCGATGTGATTGGTCCGTGTGTGAGAGAAGCTCCGCTGTGATTGGTCCGTGTGTGTGTTTTGGGCGGAAGCATGAAGCGGCTGCAGGAGCATGAGCGAGGCGCTTTGGAGCAGAGCAGACAGCATCAAAGGAAGCAAAGGAAAAGGAGTTTGGGCTCGTGGCTCAGAGCCTGATATACGCTGGGACTGTGGAGTAGAGTTCTGTTGCATATCTATATATAACTTATAAACTGTGCAGTCGTTTGTTTTGCACTGTTCCAACCTTAAAATGTAACAAAAAGGCGTTTAGCGCAGCCCATAGCGAACTATCTAAATGACGTCACTAAGACACGCCCCCGCCGCCTGTCAACTCCCGCCCACATGTTTCGGACAAACACTGCCGAAATGAATCAAATACCACTTGTCACTTTAGACAAATATGATATACCAGGAGCAAAATTCCACCATCAAACCATCAGGGATCATAGTGTAGACCAGGGGTGCCAAACCTTTTTTGACCCAAGGTCTACTTTTTAATTAGCAAACCTCCAAAGGTCTACCAGTCCAGCGTCAACATCAAAACCCCACAGTTACAGCCGTTACAAACAACACAACCATTAGACATCAGATTACTACAATTATGTATTTATTTTGAACTCTTTGCTCCTCACAATCTTACACAAATACAAACACACAATCTGCATTTTGAGGAATAGCTAACAAACTGACCATATGAACCAAGCAGAAAAATGAACCAGTTCAAAACCAGGTAATAGAAACACTGTTCTATGAATCAGACATCCAAAAGCAGTGCACAACTGAATATTCAAACATAAAGCCCCTGCTCTGGTGGACAGGAGTACAAAAAACAAAACTCACAAAAGGAAGATCTCTTCCTACCTTAGTGAGAGACTTGACACTGGGAGGAGGCTGGTTTCTCATAGTCCGGAGTGTAGGAGGTGGTTGCAAGGCGTAGGCAGGTTGCAAGATGGTCATCGGTCATTGTTGATCTGTACTTGGACTTGATGATTTTCATATGAGAGAAGGCAGACTTGCACAAATAAGTTGATCCAAATAGGGAAGTCAGATTCAAGGCACATCTTCTGACATTGTGATACTTCTCCTCCACAAGAAGTTTCCATAATTGCACATGGTGTCCAGGCTGAGCAGAACGGGCTTTCAACTCAATGTCATTTTGCAACATTAGAATCTCATCCTCAAGAGCGGACTTTTCCAAGTGGAAAAGTGATTGCACTTTTTCTGCAATATCACCAACATCAATACTTTCATCAAATGGATAGCACATATAGGTGCTATCCATTTGATGAACAGGTTTGATGGACGCAAAGTCAGTGAAACGCCTTTCAAATTCAGACAGGACGTTTTTAACATGTTCCACATAACGTGCCCTGTCCAGCTGTGAAACGTCTTTACCTTGACGTTGTAATTCTGCTTGCACGTAAACAAAGTTGCGCAGGTCACCATGTTGCAGCCGTCTGAACATCAACTGTAGCTTGCTTTTAAACGTGTTCACTGATCCCATCATGTTTAGAACATCTTTATCCTTACCCTGCAGCTCCAAATTTAACACATTGAGTTCGCTGGTGATGTCAGTGAGGAATGATAAATCTAAAAGCCATTGTTCGTCCTCCAGCATTGCATGATAATCCACATATTTTGAAACCTTCAGAAAATCTTTGATTTCCGACAACAGCTCCTGAAACCGGGCCAAAAATTTCCCTCTACTGAGCCACCTTACATCGGTGTGAAGTAGCAGGTCAGTGTGCTCGGAGTCCTTTTCCTCCAAGTGAGCGCGGAAAAGTCTTCTCTGCAGACTTCTAGCCCGAACTGAGCACACAATCTTCATCGCAATGTCCATCACATTTTTCATGTTTAAAACCTTTCCACATAACGCTTGTTGATGAATGATACAGTGATAATTCAGAATGTCTGGGAAAGATTCACTGTCTTTGCACAATGCGATGAATCCATTTGTGCGACCCGTCATCGCAGGCGCGCCGTCTGTGGTCATTGAGATCAGTTTGAAAAGCGGTAGTTTTATTTTTGTGACCAATTCCATGAACGCGTTAAAAATGTCCTCCCCTCTGGTGTGTCCTTTCATTGGCAAAATGGAGAGTAGCTCTTCTTTGGCACTCATATCTTCAAAAACCATTCTGATAAAAACACAATTGCGATACATCCATTATATCAGTTGACTCATCGAACTGAAGGGAAAAGCACTCACACATGTCTATATCCCTTCGGAGTTGCTCCTCCACATCCACAGACATACTTTCGCATCGTCTTGTAACAGTATTGCGTGACAGTTGCACGTCTTTTATGGCCTTCACGATCACTCAATTCACTCAATAAACACAAATGACAATCAATCGACACATTTAAATGTTAATGGGAGAATATATTATACATACATTCGTAACACACGTGCACGGAGGTTTTCAGAAGTATCTGTTAAGGTTTTCATGACAAAAATACTTTTTTAATGCGACTAAAGTGATTGCTTTCTTGAAGTAGGTTAGCTATCCTCACTGTTACTCGCCTGCCACAGGAAAACCTTTGGGAACTATTTTCTTTGCACTCATTAAAAAAACCTTTCGGCATTAATAGTGACAGAAGTTTATTTTGTGTGTTCAGTTCGTACAAAGCCATATAATAAGCGGACCCGACGCGCTTCGTCTGTACTTATTATCCGATATCCGGATATCCGATTATCCGATAGTCACAAATTGTATATTTTCTGGATTAGGACAAACAATACTAATATGGATTGATGGGGTAAATGGTATAAAGAGAAAGTTTGTGCTAACTACATTCAGAAGAGCTCAGACGGACCTGATACAGCGGTCCAGATCCAGTTCCACCTACAGCTAGGACTGGATCTGGATGCTCCACAGTTGGTCCAGCATACGAAGTGTTTTGATAAAACATGTGTCCTTTTAAACATTTTCATGAGAGAAATTCTGCCGACCACAAGCACGAACCCACCTCCTGCACTTGTCCTGGTCCGGTCCTGGTCTGATCTGGTCCTGGTCTGGTTCGATGGTGTGGTTAAACAAACGGGTTGAATGTTACTGCTTTCATATAGTCCTTTTCAGAGTATCTGAAATCTTGCATTTCATGCGTGTTTTGGCGTGTTGTAATGAAGGTTGAAATGAGCGTACACATTTACACCACCTCCAGACCTGCCGTATATTTTTTGCGTATCGTATGCTCACGTCCAGATTGATAAATGCGGAAAAGTGTAAATATTTTGCGTACGCATCATTTACACCCTGATTTGGCCGTACGCAAGTTTCATACATGAGGCCCAGTGTCTGCTTCCTTGACGTGGGTGGGGAGCTGATTGCACAGTAGAGGAGCTTGGTAGCTAAATGCTCTGCCGCCGACAATGCTTTTTGAAACCTTAGGAACCACCAGACGTCTGGCGTTTGGCGAGCGCAGTGCTTGGCTTGGTTTATAAGACATTAACATGTCTTGAAGATACGAGGAAGCCAAGCCATTTATGGCTTTGTATGACAAAAGAAGAAATTTAAACTTTATTCAGTACTCCACAGGAAGCCAGTGGAGTGATTTTAATTCCTGAGTTTTGTGCTCCCTCCTTTTGGTGCCTGTTAAAATCCTTGCTGCTGTAATTTGTACAAGCTGGAAGCTCTTCAAGCGATACAGTAGACAAGCTTTGAGGTGAGGGTTTGAGGCGTGGATTAGTTTTTCCGCTTCGCTTTAGGAAGAATATTCCTGATTTCAGCGATGTTCCGCAAGTGGAAATATGCCGTTTTAATTGTTTGGTTTATATAAGCCTTAAAGGAGAGTTCTTCGTCAAAGACAACTCCAAGATTCCTCACAGTGTTGCTGGGTACAACACTGACATTATCGAGAGTGATTATCTGGTCAGTAAGGGAGTCACGCAGGCGCTTTGGACCGAGTAGGATCACTTCTGTCTTCTCCGGGTTAAGCAGTAGAAAGTTAAGAGTCATCCACGTTTTAAGGTCCTTTATGCAGGCACTAAGCCTTTTCAACTGATCCGTCTGATTTGGTTTCATCGACAGACAAAGCTGTGTGTCATCTGCATAGCAGTGGAAATTAATTCCATGCTTTTTTCCTAACGGCAGCATATAGAGTGTGAAAAGAAAATTTAGACATTACAATATCCATCCATTTTCTACCCCTTAATCCATTTCTGGGTCAGGGGGGTGGCAATCAGAGATGCCACCCAAGTCTCATAGCACCAGCCCCTCACTGACCCTCTGCAGGTGGTGAGTCCACAGGAGGACGGCTGCTCTCTGAGTGTGAGCATAGCCTTGATCTTTCAGTGGGGGCTTTGGGCAAAGTGGGGTTAAGTGTCTTGCCCAAGGACACAACGACAGCAGTCATCAGTGGGAGTCGGTGGAGAAGGTGCAGGGCGACAGTAGCTCAGTTGGTAGAGCATTGGCCTTAAGGCCAGAAGGTCGTGGGACATTACAATAATGTTCTGTAATTATTTATACATTGTTTATTTAGTTTAGTGAGTTATTGAGTCCCATAAAAAGTAGATTTGTTGTAAACTGCACCAAACTTTCAGTCCTGACCATGATGTCATCAGTTCTACTCTTTAATATTTCACAAAAAGAGACAGTATTGGTGTAAAGCTATCATTATATAATTGTCATTCCACTCAAATAGATCAAAAACATTCCTAAAAGTCAAACATTTTATTCCACAAACCTAAACCTCTTAACCGTGTTTAAACAGATACATAAAAAATAATTTTATATTGTTTTACAGTTACGCCAAAGGGACGGATCCTGACAACTGGCTAAACATAAACGAGGACACAGCGGAAATCCGACTAAACAAGATTCCAGACAGAGAGTCACCTTTTTTGATAAACGGCACCTACTTTGCAGAGATCCTGGCCATCTCAAAAGGTACTGAGTGTGTAATATAATAGAATGAATACTTTACTCTGAATATATGACATAATGATATTTACGTATAGATAGTAATGATACCAAAAACGTTTTCGGCAGCAAACAAAAATTATACCAGCCTGATTTTATTATAAAAAGTGTGGACAAACAAAAGACATGGCCGACTAGACACAGACAGACCGAGCACAGAGAATTCACACTTTTTTTTAGAAATGTGAAAAATGTGCTTACCTTCGTACATTAGAAGTATACTTTGTCATTTTTACTGTACTCTTGCCTTTGACATAACCTGTTTGGCAACTTAATACAGGTGTGGCTCTGGAAAATGTCAAGTCTGCTTGAAATAACATGAGAACTAAATATAACGGGAAAGCACTTCAAATGGTTAAAAAAAACACCAAAAACAGATTATTTTTTATTTACCAAGATGCAGACTAAATAAATAGGCAGCAGTGCGCACAGAGGTTAGCGCTTGTGCTTCACAGCACAGCATGGGATTCTACCCTCTTTTCAGTGTGGAGTTTGCACATTCTCCCTGTGTCTGCATAGGAATCCTCTGGATGCTCCAGTTTCCCCTACCACTAAAAACGTGGTATACCCACTAAAACCACTAAAAAGATGTACAATAGTTCTAACATGCACCTCCTGTATGGTGACCTTTGTAAAGTCATCATTGCTCTGTGACTATAAATACAAATAAAATACTTACTTACTAAAATAGAATATCTTGCATCTCCTGTCTACTTTTGTTGCATGTTAGTGTTAACTATTATGAGTGGCCACACACATTTTTTACAGAAGAACCAGTTTATTCTATTATTCAACACATCTGATTCACTCACATCCAGCGTTGACAGTCAAGTCTTGTTCTCCCTCTGACTGTGCATAGACATGTTATCCATAACAAATTTTGCTAAGTTATTCATATATTCCAATATAAAGAATAGTTTTATACTGCTAAAGTCTAGCATAAGTTACAACAAACTCAAAGTTTTGTTTTGTCATTTTGATTGTCAAAATATATTTTCTTTGTACCTTGGAGGAGTTTTGGCACAGTTCAGTAGGTAACATCCCTCTGCTGATTTACAACCAGGAAGTAGAATCCTATGATAAAGATATTTCCAAACTGGAAGGAAATTTGAAAACATTTAAGCTCATTGTTACTTACTGTGTGTTGTGAAAAGTAAAGTCTAAACTGGCATATGAACTATAAATAATAATCGTTCTCTCATCAGACATGCCTGCAAGAACTGCCACAGGAACCATAGCCATCAAAGTCATTGATTCCAATGATCACTGTCCGGCGCTCACCTCAACGAAAATGCTCCTATGTGAGGACCAAAGAAGCATCCTGGTTACTGCACACGACGAAGATATGGACCCTAACGGACCACCTTTCACCTTTAAGATCCTTCCAGAAAACACACGTGGTGTGTGGGAAGTGGAATCCGTCTCTGGTATGTCAAATACACACCCCGGAAGACAAAGAAAACAATTATAATGTTCCTCCAAATATTATCTGGTTTGAAAATATTCCCCCTTTGTCATAGTTAATCTTGTCTATCCATGTTTATAATCAGTGTTTAACTTGTAACTAGTAATGATCATTATCAAGGCCAAAACATCTACAGAACTATCTAGTATAATCTTTGACAGGTTATAATTGTAAACCTTACAGTGCAAAAATATTAAAATGTATTATTTGTAATCAACAACAACAACAAAAACATTGTGATCACTGTTCTGTTTAGGGACTGAAGCAGAGTTCCGCACTGAGGAAAAGCTGTGGCCTGGTACTTACTCGATTGAGATGGAAGTATCTGATGCCCAAAGTTTGAGTTGCCCTACCCCACAGACGTTCGATGTGAATGTGTGTGAGTGTGTGGGCCCAGATGCTTCGCCGTGCATGGCTAAACAAGCCTCATCTGAAGAGAAGACACACATTGACTTCTCTGGTCCTGCAGTTTCCCTCATGATCGTTGCCGCTTGTTTGCTGCTCTGTAAGTTCACTAAATTACAAACTACAAACTATCCCGACAGTGTATGAGTCCTGAGTACTGATACTGTACTGACTTCCCGTTACTCTCATGGCAATAAAATTATTTTGATTCTGATTCTACACTAATAGTAGCACTAGCAGGTGTAAGCACTATTTCCCAGCATTATGGCCCAATAAATAGCTATTTACACATAGATCAAAAAGATCTGAATGCATTAAAACAATCACTTAAAATATTTCTAAACCTGTGCAACATGATACAAAATTACAAACACATATACATTCCTCACCTGAATATTCCTCCTTTTCACAGTTATCCCATTTCTGATGGTCGTCTGCCAGTGTGGAGGGACGAACGCTATATTTGCAGACAAATTCCGTGAACTGCCATTTGAGGCCAAAGAGCACCTGATTGCCTATCACACCGAAGGCAGAGGGGAGGATAAGGTAAACTGTTCTTGAGGTTCTTCTTATTATTATCATGTATTTTTTTTCTCTTGATCAGTAATACCATTCCTTATTTCTGTTGATTTCAGGAAGTGCCACTTTACAGCGCTCCTTTAAAATTAGGAACCCAAAGGCAAGTGGAGGGAGCAACCACTCTGCTGGGTGGTATGACCAAAGAAACCAGAGAGATTATAACAACAACAAACACTAGTGACGCCTTCATGGTAAATGGTGGCAGCAGCCGTGTCATGGGGCAGGGAGAGGGCAGCTACAGTATCTACAGAGACAGATACCTTCAAGATCAAGGCTTCTCTACCTACAATGGAAGGACCGTGTACGACAAACAAGCCACAATGTTTGAGGACATCGCCCTCCCTGACGCATTCCTGGAACAGTACTACTCCCAGGTTAGTTTTTTTTGTTTCCTTTTCTGATTGGATTTTCTATTAGACAGTACCACAGTAAAGAAAAACAAAAAATATAATATAAAATATTTCAGACCATCAGTAGCTATTGGATTTAATGTGAAAGTGTTCAAACTCATAATTTCTATTACATTTAATGTAAGGTTAAACATTATTATTATGACTGTTACTTTCTCTCAACAGAAATCTGCTGTGACAGTCACGGGAAAGGATGCCCTGTTGGTGTATGATGATGAGGGTCATGCATCTCCTGCTCCATCTGTGGGTTGCTGTAGCCTTCTAGAGTCTGAGAATGACCTGCAGTTCCTTGATGATTTGGGACCAAAGTTCAAAATCCTTGCGGATATCTGCTCACCAACACCAATCCCACTGCCAACCCCAACATACAAAGCTGTCAAAACCAAAGTGGTAGAGAAGACAGTTGAACCGGTTGATAAAATTGTCGAGAAACATACAGAAAATATATCAGCTACTAACATCTCAAAGTCAATTGTTAGCAATATCAGTTCAGTTAACTCATCACCACCGCAACCTCCAATGACACTTCCACGCTCACAGGTGACTAACATTTCATCAAACACTCAAATTTCTAACATAAGCAGTTCATCCAACATTAGTTCCTCCAATGTTCGCCACCTAGCTACTCTGCCACGTCCTTCCCCAACTATATTAGTGCAACAGCCACAATATTTCTATGCAGCTAACACAATGCCAATGCCTGTACAATACATCATGCAGCCACCTCTTCAGAACACTGTTCTTCTGGCAGAGGGCGGAACCAACCCAAAATTGCCGCCTGGCTATATTGTAGTGGGTGGCCCAAATATTGCTGGTCAGGCAGTGAGCCAGTCTAGCACCCATGTAATCAAGAGTCCAGGGGTCAGTGGAGGCTTTACAAGTGCTTCTCTTAGCTCTACAAGTCCTCTGAGCCCCTCTATATTTTTTCCTGGAAGTCCTGGCAGCACCACAAGCCAGACACTTCTGCTACCAGGGAGTCCAACTTCTCCAAGTATGGTTGGAATGGAAGGTTATAAGATGGTTGGTCCAAACTCAGACGGCAACTATATGTTGGTCAAGGACAAGCCTACTCCAGGCCAAGCAGATAGTTCTAGCCCAGGCGCACCTGAGGGTACTTCACCCAAAGGTGCTGACCTGAAGAAAGAGGCTGCTCCTCCTCAGGGGGTCTTAGGTCATGCAGCCCACTCCAATGTCATTGGCATAATGTCAGGACACTCTTTGACAAGCATTAGGGGATTAGTAACTGTGAACAAACAAATAGGGGGAACTTGGGGGCCACAGCCTATGGGACTTCCAGCAATTACCGTTTTGGGAATGAGTACAGGGGCAACTCAGAATACAGGGATGAATATAATTGAAAGTAGTGCTCCAGTGATACAAACACAAACCATACATGTTCCAAATGACTGCAGGCTTGAATCAAAACAAGGCAGCAGTGGTTTAAATGTTACAAAAACGTTAGTAAAAAAGAGGAAATCTGTCCCTAAAAAGTTACATATTGAAAGTCAAACTGAAAGTGTAAAAGTGGAGAATATTGCTTTACCTAATGCATCTGTACAAATGATGCCACCTATCCTCCCAGCCGAAAGAATAGTACAAACAATATCTTATCCTAATGAGCAAACAATACAAAAACCTGAACCAAAAGATATGTGTCAAGACAATGAAAATTCAGGGCTATCATGTAAAATATGGAGACACCAAAATGTAGTTGATGCAAATGACAATAACATAGTACAATCAAACAAAACCAAACAATCTTTCCCAGAAGAACCATTATGCTCTGGTGATTATAACACTGCAAAACCTCAAACAGACACAAAAGATGAACAGTTTAAGAGTGATCAAAATGCTTCCATTTCTGATACAATGTATGGGGAGCCAGAAAGTATAATAGCTGGACAACAAGGTTTAGAAAGCAACAAAGATCAAGAAGTTGTTAAGGAAGAAGGAAGTCAAATGGAGAACCCTAACCTCGATGCAAACATACAGGACTGGCAAGTGGCGCCAGACAAAATTGAAGCTGATGATCCAGTTCCTTCAAAATCTGAAGAATCAGTGAATTCATCTATAGCTTTAGCTACTGAAAATCACGAAGAAAGTAATATCAACCAAGAACTTGAAACCATGAAAGGATCACCAGAAGTTGACCTAGATATAGAAAACATTCCAGATAAAGATGCAACTGCAAGTATTGACAACCCACCCTCAGAAGACTCAGTTGTTGAACTTGAACCTGAAAATTACATATCTGCAATTGACAATGAAGTAGAGGAACAGCCTCAAATTAAAGAAACTCTTGACACTGAAAGGACAGAGTCATTAGTGGAAGAGAACATTGAAGCAGCCACAGCGTCGGAGCAAGAGAATCACAAGATTACATCAGAGGACAATCAAAAAGACAAAGAACTGCCTGTCAGCGACCAAGATGAAAATACTGAAGAATTTACATACATGGAGGACAGTCATCACCAATCTAACCATACTTCGGAAAATCTATTGCCTTGCAAAGACCAGCCTCAGCAACCTGAAGTTCAACCAAATACACCTGAAGAGCAGGACACATCCATGAATAAAGATAATTGCTCAATTGTTGTTATGGAACCCCTTGAAACTAACATACAAGACCAGCAGGTTGCTCAACCAACCAGAATTGAATCCGAAGGGGCAGTCCTTTCAAAATCCAAAGAATTAGTAGCTTCCTCAATAATTACTGAAAATCACTGTGAAGAAAGCAACATCAACCAAGATTCTGAAACCGTAAAAGGTTCCGCAGAAGTTGAACTAGATACAGAAAACCTGGTAGATAACCATGCAAAAGCAAGTATTGACAACCCACATGTAGAAGAATTAGTTGTAGAAGTTGTTGACGAGGAATGTGAACCTTTTATAGAACAATATAATCATAACCAAGATGTTGACCTTTCTGAGAGCTTAGATAATGAAAATGAAATGTACATACCGGAAATAGATCAAGAGGGACAGCCTGAAACCAAAGAATCACTTGACACTGAAAGAACAGAGTCAGCACTGAAAGAGAAAGATGAGGAACCACCAGTCAGGGACCAAGATTTAAATATGGAAGCAAGTACAGATATTGAAGACAGTGATGAGCAATTAGACCATATTTCAGACAATCTATTGCCTTGTGAAGATCAGAATCAGCCATCTGAAGTTCAATCGACACCTGAAGAGCAGGACACACCCCTGTATGAAGATACTTACTTAAATGTTGAAATGGACCCCCTTGAGACTCGTGATGAAAACATATAGGCCAGCAGGTGGCTCAACCAGTCAGAATTGAAATTGAGAAGCCAGATCCTTCTCTATCTGAAGAAATAGTGGCTTCCTCAATATCTGAAAATCTCTATGAAGAAAGAAATTTCAACCAAGATCCTGAAACCGTAAACGATTCAGCAGAAATTGACCAAAATACATAAAACATTGCCAAAAACTATGCAAATGCCCATGACAACCCACAAATAAAAGAGTCGATGGTAGAAGTTGTTGACGAGGAATGTGAACCTTTTGTAGAACACAATCATGATGAAGGTCCTGACGTCACTGAAGGCTTAGAAGAAGAAACTCAAATGGAAACATCCATGAACGACAATGCTTTCCCAAATGTGGAACTAAACCACCAAAATCCACAAAGGACATCTGTAAAACAAGTTGCAGGCGAGCAGGAAGAAGGGTCATTTACAGAGATCATTCCAAATGATAGTGGTAATTCAGAAACTAGGGAAGAACAAGAAGACCCTGAGTGAGATCAAGACATTACTGAATGTTCAAAGTGATGCTCATGACGGCGAAGAAGATAGGCCAATAGTAGAAGAGAAAACAGGGATAGTATGGAAAACACAACAATCTAACTTTGAGGGGGATGAAAATAAATCCAACACTAGTGTGCAATATGAAAATTTAAATTTAAATCCACTAACTACTAAAAATGCTGATGAAACAAATGGCCTTTAACAAATAAATGTATTTTTTGGCAATATAGGGCCTTATCAAGAGCACAGAAAGATCAGAGTGCCAGATGGGTTTAAATTATCCAGGCTCTTGTTGTGTAAATACAGAGTTATCTAAATAAAACAAGGATCATACACATTTACTGTACATTTCCCATTAAATGCAACATCATTTGAAAACATGTATGTAGATGTAACTCCCTAGACATACTGTATTTTCTACTGTACTCCACATGATCAGAAAATTGGTAGAATACATAAGAAATATCATGATGAACACTCATAAAACATATAATGCACAATCATACACATGGAGCTCCAAAATAAGAAAGATTGATTTTTGGGGACAGAAAGCTCTTCGTTTTATTGTCGTTGATACTGTATGTTTTGCCAATCTGGTTTCCCTGCTGTCCTTATTTACTGTATTGTCTAATTGGCATGTGATGTTGAACCAACATCATATTTGGAATGGCTTTGCATTCACAAGCGACTCGGTGTATAGTAAAGAATGATTTTTAAATATTTTAGCTATCGTTCTCAGGCTAGCAGAGAGACAAAGTCCATCCAATGTGTCCTGGGTCTTCCCCTGGGTCTCCTCCTAGTGGGATATGCCCAGATTACCCCCCAGGGAGCTCTGTGGAAGAAATTCCTTTTATCTTGTGCCAGGTTTCGAAGCTCAAAAAAACTTCCACATTGTAGAGATGGGATGATACACAAATCATCTACTGGAAACTGAAGAGCAGTAGTATCACATTCCAGTGTAGTGCATCATAGCCTTCATAAAACCTGGTTCAGCCAATCATATTACTCTCTGCCTGAAGTCCTTGGTTTCAACAGAAATATAAAGTGCCATCAAATTATATAATTATTCAGTGAGAATTTTTTTCTAATGTTGCTTTACTTAATGCAACTGGTAAAGTGAAAACAAATAACACTAGACTAAAGTGCAGGTCAGATCTTTCTCATGTCATGTTTCGATAATCCATCCAACAAGCCACCTCTTCAAGTAAACTTACATACTGATTTTTGCAATTTTTAAACTACTTTTTGAAGTTTCTTTCCATAAGTACAACCTGTAGCCCAGTAAACCTGCAGGCATTACTTCCCATCAACAAGGTTTAAACAAGAATGAATAAGGTTTGGCAGTTCTCTCCCACTTCTTGCTTGTTTAAAGGACATTTATCGAACATATATAGGGTGCATTCGCTTTGGCTTAGCTTAAGTATACTCTTGCATTTGTGGGTTTTGAATAGATTTAAGTGACGCATAAAGAAAAACATGGCATGTGGGGTTTTGCTTTTGAAGACATGACAGAACACGTTGAACGGGTTGGAGATAAGACTATGGATTAGATTAATAACTGCACTTTCACAGTACGGTAAATCTAATGTTTCACAGTCTCCTTAAGGCGACATCGCACCATTTTAGAATGCAGGAATGGGGCTTTTTCCCAAAATGCAATAATGACGTGTGTATTTGTGTGAGTGTTTTTTATACTTTTTATACATGTTGGATTTTTTTAACTATGAATGTAAAACACTTTTAGATTCCATTTGATGAAGCGTTTGAGGGAATTTGATGATGAGAGAAATATTTCAATTGTTATTTAGTTAACTCAGGAGGCTCAAAATATTAATCACACATTAAAGTCATGTTCATGCCATAATACCGCACTTTTTATCCCAAGAAGAAAAAAAAGTATATTTGTAAAAAGCTGAAAAATGTAAGCTATTTTTGTCCATTTCAAAGTTGGCTAACAGGTGTACTGCGCCTGACCTTTGGTTTGAATCAGTGCATGACTTCAGTCGTTTTGTATTCTTTGTTTCGTGTTCTTTGTAGATTTTATGCACTTTAATTGATAATTGTAAAACTATAAATATATGTTTTTATGTGGTACGAAATACTCAAAAGAAAAAGCAAGCCCAAAACTTGGAATGTTCTGCAGTTTACAAAATGATCAACCCATCACTTGTTCCCATGACTGCATGCACCAAAAGCATGGGATGTTTGATTTGTTTACTGTGACAAGCCAAAAACCAATCAAGGTGTGTCAAAGTTGGACCAGAATCCTGAAGCGTTCCCAGGCGAGCTGAGAGAGAAAGTCCCTCTAGCTTGTCCTGGGGGGCCCTTGGATCTCCTCCCGGTGGGACGTTCCCAGAATACTTCACCAGAGAGGTGTCCTGGAGATCCAAGAGGAGCCAGTTGAGGCTCCTCTTGGGCCTTTGGGACATCTCCCTGGACATGGAGAAGAAGCAGCTCTACTCCAAGCTCCTTCCGTATAACCTTTCTTTAAGGGAGCGCCCAGCAGAGGAAATGTAAAAATGTAAATACTGTATATGTTTTTAATTGGTACAAAATAGACAATTTAAAAGCGAGCACAAAACTTGGAATATTCCACAGTTTAATAATTGATCACACCAATCGCTTGTTCTCATGACTCCCTGCACCAAATGCATTTGCCAAGCCAATAATGAATCAAGGTGTGTCAAAGTTGGACCAGCACGTATGCATTATCATAATAACTGCTTTGTAGGGTGTTGATTTGATGTTTATTAAAAACTGGCAGTGATTCATCAGATGCTTTTGTACAAGATACTTTTTATAGATATAAAATGTGATGCTGTTTGATTAGTCTTGGCACAATCAAACAACGCGGAATCAGTTTGAGCTGTGCCTTTGACATGTGTCACGTAAAAATGATTGATATCTGGGGTGGATATCAACGGCCAGATTGCATTTGTTTCTTTCAAACTGGCAGTTCATGTAATTGTAACAAAAAAAAAAAAAACTATCTGCTTTTCATTATGTGCTTTGTGTAGAAAAACTAGTTGAATCATGATGTATACTTTTTGGTTTTAGAATTCAAAAGCCACAACTTCAAACTCCAAATGTATCTTCACCCTGTATTTCTTATTTTTCTTTTCAATAAAGATGTGTGGGAACTTCCGTCTGATTTATTGTAAACCACAGTTGCAAAGAGTGAAGAAGTGAATGCAGAGAATGTGCTGCTGCAAAAGCCTTCGAGCGGTCTCCTTACCACGCAGGCACAAGCACTTTCATATCCTGCTTCAGCTCATGATCCGGCACATTAGAAGGTAATTCTTCTGAAATCCGGGTCTGCTACCAGTTTATAAAATGAATGTATTGTAGTTTATTACACAGCCTGAAGGATACATTTCCAATAATGGCCGCTCTTGGATTGTAGACAACTATAACTAGACTCTTCTGTGGCTACATACCCTGCCAACAACCCTGTGAAAGCTGGTATTGGTGTAAGTTTCACAGCAAGAAGGCCTTTCTGTTTTGAGTTTGCATGCTCTCCCCGTGTCTGCGTAGGTTTCCTGGATGCTCCTGTTTCCCCTACCTCTAAAAACATGTACAATAGGTATTAATGTAATGAGTGAGTGTGTCTCGCTTCACTCATCACCATGTGGAGAGAATGGAAAAATATCTGAACTCTGAACATAAGAAAGCACCTTGGTCTGTAAAATGCGCTATATTAAAAAAACATGATATTTTTCACATCTGCATCCCCTTGGACTAAAAGTTCAATGCATTCAAATCTCGCAAAGACTAACAACACAATCTCAGGTCCATAAAATCACATGTGGTGTGCCCCAGGGTTCCATTTTAGGTCCAGTCCTTTTTAACGTGTACATGCTCCCTCTTGGCGGTGTCGTCAGGAGACATGGAATTGACTTCCACAGTTATGCAGATGATACACAGCTGTACATCTCCATGTCTCCTGACGACACCAGGCCAATGGATGCTCTTTTTAACTGCATTTTAGACCTGAAATCCTGGATGGCAGAAAACTTTCTCCAGCTCAACCAGGACAAAACTGAGGTTTTAGTCATCGGCCCTGAGGCCCAGAGAGAGAAACTTTTACCGAAACTCCAATCACACTCTTTTAATCCATCATCACAAGTGAAAAACCTGGGCGTAATCTTTGACTCTGAGCTGACTTTTATTCCTCACATCAAGAACATCACAAAAATAGGTTTTTATCATTTAAAGAACATCGCCAGAGTCCGCCCCATTCTCTCTCGGGCCAACACGGAGACGCTGATGCATGCTTTTATCACCAGTCGCATTGACTACTGTAATGCCCTGCTCTCTGGTCTTCCCAAAAAGAACATTTCAGGTTTACAATTACTTCAAAACTCGGCCGCACGTGTCCTGACTAAGACCAGGGGGCGGGACCACATTACACCGGTTTTAAAATCGCTGCATTGGCTCCCCGTGTGTTTCAGGATCGATTTTAAGGTTCTTTTAATGGTTTTTAAATGTCTTAATGGTCTTGGGCCTTCTTATCTTTCAGATTTGCTTTTATCCTATGAGCCTTCCCGGCCCCTGCGCTCCTCCGGCAGCAGACTCCTAACCATCCCCAAAGTCAGGACACACACTCACGGCGAGGCATCTTTCCAGCACTACGGCCCCCGTCTCTGGAACAGTCTGCCGGAGGAGCTCAGGGCCGCAGAGAACGTTCATATTTTTAAGAGTAGGCTCAAGACGCACCTTTTTAGAGCAGCTTTTGATTAGTATTTATTATCTATTATTGCTTTTTAGTACATCTATTTATGTTTTTAGACGGATTATATTTTTATTATTTACTATTTTTAATTATTTATTGTATCTACCCATTTACTATTGTTATTATCAATATTAGGCAGCTGCCATTTTTCTTTTTATTTTCACATTTTATTGTTCTACTTTCTATTGTATTATTGTATTGTTTTAGTGTCCCCAGTGTTTCCTCTGGAGGAGCCCTCTGCACTGAGAGCTGGGGTCTGCTGTGGCTTCGGGGGACTGGCTCTTGGATCCGGTGGGGGTCTGGGGCCTCCTCTCTCCTCTGGGTCCTATGGGGTCTGAGTCCTGGGCCTGGTGGGGTCTGGGGCCCCTCTCTCCTCTGGGTCCTGTGTCGTTGCCTGTGGCTGCAGCCGGCTCTCTGCTCCTGGTGCAGATGGCTCCTTGGATGACGCTTCTTCAGCCGGTTACATCTGCTCCCAGCCCCATTTATTTTTATTGTTTTACCTATTTTACCTGATATGACTTTATACTTGTGTATATGTGTGTGTGTGTGTGTGTGTGTGTGTGTGGGTGTGTGTATTGTATATATAATTATAAATGTGGTTTTGGGGGGTCTGTGGGGAGGAGGGTTTAGGGCTGGGCATGTTGGATTGTTTTTAACTAAACTGTAAAGCACTTTGTGTTACACTTTTTGTATGAAAAGCGCTTTATAAATAAAATTTGATTGATTGATTGATTGATTGAATCTGTTTTAATACTTAACATGGCTTAGCATCTTAGCGTTTATTCTTTTTTGACAGCCATAGCACAGAACATTTGTGGAACGGTCACACCTTGAGCATACATCACATTCTTAACAGGACGTCTTGAACTTGCCATGAACCGAGGACACAATAATATGTCAAGTTGTTGCATAGATGAGGGTCTGATTAGGCAAAACGAATTGGGAGCATTGAAGGTAGAGCCTGTTCTGCTGCATAGCGCCCTAAGGCACAGCGAGAGCAAGTACACAGGTAATTACACAGCGAGAAAGTGCACACATATTGGGAGTAGTGACTGGAAAGGTATATCTGACTTCAGAACGAATCATCATGATTTTGAATCATCTGCATCCAGGCTGGTTTGGCCTCGTTTGGGTCTATCTAGGCTTGTTTGGGTCTATCCAGGCTCGGTTTGGGTCTATCCAGGGCAGACGCATGGAAGCAGTGTGTGGTTAAATATTTTGACCACTTTATTTTGTATTGTTATGTTTGGTTATTAGTCAACACAAAACAATTACATACAAACAACACATTTAAATCCAAAATGTCCCTATTTTCCAGATTGAAAGGGTTGGGCTGATGCTGCTTGACACTTATTTCACCTAACCTTCCAAAATCAAGATCAAGTCGCACAAGTTAGCAATTCCATAACAATTCAAATCCAAATAAATGTAAAACTTTCCAATTGTACTAAGACAACACATTACAACCATATACAAGTTTGTACATACATATATTCAATCAATCAGCGGGGGATCAATAAACACATCAAAATAACACAAAGCACAAATATAAACATCTTCAAGTATCTCATGCCTGTGAACAAACATGTATTCTGGTCTCTGCTTTTCTGGGGTCTGTAGTTTAGCTGAGTTGTGCAGCTTGAGACAAAGTATTGGTCATATTTGCAATGGAAATGAAAAACAAATCATTTCCAAGTATTAACCCTTTAGGCCCCGGAATTTTTTCCTAAGTAAGTAAGTAATCTTTATTTATATACCGCCTTTTCACTACAGATCTGAGTCTCAAAGGGATTTACAATTGTTATTTTTTGGGCACTTGTCTCTCACTCCACACAGAGATGGGAGCGGGGTCACCGGTACAGGAGGCGCATGCTAGAACTATTGGACATATTTTTAGTGGTAGGGGAAACCGAAGTACCCGGAGGAAATCTACGCAGACACAGGGAGAACATGCAAACTCCACTCAGAAAGGCCCTGGTCTGACCGGGATTCGAACCCAGGACCTTCTTGCTGAGAGGCGAGAGTGCTATCCACTCAGCCACCGTGCCGCCCTAAGAAGCTCAAGTTGTACATCTTGATGTTTTAATAACTTAAAAGTGAGAAGAGATAGAGGCTTCATGTAAATTACAGACATTATAAGGATGGCCCAAAGTGTATGTAGGAATGAAATGTACCCATCTCATTTGCATATCATGGATTTTAATGTTTTTATACATATTAACACAGTACAATACTCAATGGTCAGGGAAACAGTAAAACTGTGCAAACCATTATGTGGCGAGAGTTTGAATGAATTTTGACACCCAGTTATAATAATAATAATAATGCCACCACTAACCATTCACACACGCATCAGACTAATTCCAATTTGGGTGAAGTGTGGCACCTGGTGCTCCCAGAGGTCTTCCATCACAGTATTAACCAAGCCCTGTCCGGCACAGCTTCAGAGGTCTGACAGGATCTGGGCGTTTGCATGCAAGATTGGCCAATCTTGTACAATAACAATAAATAATTTTAGTAACTTACTTTTGGAGAAAATTCAGCTCAGTCCAAGGAAATACTCATTTTGTTACGAAAAAAATAAAACTCACTAAATAAATAAATAAAAGCAATCATTTGGTAACTATATACCTACATCAGGGGTCTCCAACCTTTTCCCTTGGAGAGCTACTTTTAGCGGGACAACACTGGCAGAAAGCTTCTCCTTTTAGACAGTCAACAAAATGTTGCGTGGTTTTAACTTGATTTGAAAACATTCTTAAAACTACCAGCTTTAGTCTTATTTCCAGCTCAGATATTGCAAATGTATTACTTGCTCTATTTGAAAAGCTTGTTTTAAGGCTGTCAAAATGCACTCTAATCCATTTAGCAACATTTGGGCAATTTTTTGTTGCGTAATGTTATTCCCATTAAATAATAATTTTTATATTTACCTATTAAACTATTCTTTGGGGAGCTACTTTGAAAAGGGTCGTGGGCTACTGGTAGCTCCCACGCTATCGATTGGAGACCCATGACCTACATATTGTAATAAGAAAATCAAAATCAAAATGCAAAAAATGAGTTGAAACCAAACTTTTCATAAACAAAGTCCTTCCAAACAATAAGATTTTAATATGTCTTTTGACAAAAATGAGTGTGAAACCTCTGGGATACGTCAACAGGTACGCAGGGCAAAAAAGATTGGGAACCACAGCTATACTTTAAATTTGACCAAAGAAGTACTGCAGGAGCGTGCTGATGTTGCTGCCCACCCTCCTCTGGTCTGGACTTTCCCACTGGACTGAGGGGTGTGGGCTCGTGGAGGTCCGTGCCTTTAAAAGCCTGAAGCTCTGGGACCAGGAGAGATCAGGATGGCAGCCCTGCGTGTGCTTCTGCTGCTGCCGTGTCTGCTGCTGCCCACCCACACTGCCCCTGTTGCGGTGAGTCCAAGCACTTTTACATGAGCACTCTGTTTTTGTAAATGCTTTTAAGTTTGTATGGCACTTTCCAACAACCAGCTTTCATGTATTTTTGATAATGTTTCATTTAAAATATATATTCATGAATAGTACAAGATTTATATGGCACATTTATAGCCTAACAAAAATGTGGGTTTTATAAAGTTAGTGACATAATGCATAATACTTTAAGACAATGCAAGTGTCAAGTTGAAGTATTGCGTGCTTGTGGTGCCAGTGATTGTGGAGCCAGTGATTGTGGAGATCAAATTGTGTTTTGTTCTTGTTACTGTAAAAACATTTTGAATATTTTAATATATATTTATAATTGCGATACAATTGGAACATGCATTTCCCACTGTTATTACCTTGTATTCAAATTAGGCAAAGCAAGGCAAGTCTATTTGTATAGCACAATTCATACACAAGGCAACTCAAAGTGCTGAACATAAATAATCACAGTACATTAAAAAGAACAATAAAAATATAAAATTCCCCAATTACTTCCAAATAATTAGTATAGTACTTAAAGGTAAACAGGAATTACTTTTGTGAGATACTGTCTAATGTAAGAGGTATTATACATTTATAGATGTATGTGTATTCTGAAAAGGTCTAATTATAAGGATATGATAAAGATAACATGGACTTTAGTAACACGTGGGAGGAGCCTGGATCAGAAACAGAGGGAAAAATACACAAACCCACATGTGGTTCAATAAGCAAACAGTGAATGTGACTTGACTATTAGATCATTAAAAAAGTGAGAAAACAGAATATTGTTGTAAGGCCTTCAAAGGTGTGACCACTTGAGTAAATAGTGAACTCTAATGTAAAGTTCTTTGACCTCAGTGTCTTCAGTACGGTACGGTCAATCAATGGGGCAAATAATCGGGTAATTCACAAACACGGCGTGAAGTTCAGACCTCTGAGCCGAGTCTCATATTTCAGAGAGTCTTACATGGTTGTTATAAAGATAATAATAATAATAATAATAATAATGATAATAGTAATAATAATAATAATAATAATAATAATAATAATAATGATGATAATGATAATAATAATAATAATAATAGATTTTACCTATAATGTGTCTTACATTTCCATGACACCTCAAAGTGTTATAATTGCTGAATGAAAGCATCTTGATCCCAGCGCTTCTCAACGTTTTTGGCCTCGCACCAAGATATAAACCAGGTCTAAAACGGAGGGGGTTTTTTGGGTCAAAGTGATATAAAATATACAATAGTGGAGTCCCCATAATCCACTAGTCCATTTTCAGTCATGGACCTCTGTTTTATTTATTTTATTGTTTTTAGTTTTAGTTTTAAAGTGATAGTCTGTAACTCTAAATGAATTACAAATTATATGAAATGTGTTAAATTGACCTCCTGGCCTTAAATGTTGATAAAAAATAAGACATTTTATTAATTCTAATATTTCAGGTGAGTCCCGCCTTCCCTTCTTTTAGCTATAGTTCAGAATCCACGGTGCCGTCCACGTTAATCAATCGAGTCATGCCAAGGGCTGTCAATCATCAGCCCTGATGCTCCTAGCTGCGTGCATGCTCAGTTGTTTGTTTTCGCAGAGCCTCTGAATCAAGCCTCTATTAGGCTCTGGAACTACATGAAAACTGAACAAAGAATTCTGAACATCCGCGTTACCCATTTATATACTGACCCTATATCCATAATCAGATCCTCTGCAGATGTGTCCTATAATGTGCAGTTCATGATAATAGCTTGTTCCGGGTTTGCCGCGATCGCTTTTTTTGTACATACATTTTTTTTCATTAAAACGTTAACAAATAATTCTGAAAACCTCCGTGCATGTGTATTAATAATGTATATGTATAATGTGTTCTCTGATTAACATTTAAAAGTGTTACGGAAACGTAGGCGTAGACCAATCAGAAAGGAAGGGGGAGGGAGCTTGCGTCGTTTTTTTCAAATCAAGTACCTCTCTGTCTCTCTTTCTGACAAACTCCAGACAATCACTTTAAATCGGCAAACTGGTATTTTATTGTTTTTTAATACATTTCAATTGTTTTTACTGCATACATAATGTTTTATTTATTATTTTTTTTGTTTTTATTAAATTACATATAAAGCTGGGAAACCTGTATATTTAAATTGTATCTCTGTGCAGCCCTTTTATAAAATTTGTTATATAAATAAAGTGGACTGGGTTGGATTGGACAAAATAAATGACGCCCACTGCTGGCAAATGACGTTTAAAGCAGTAATAAATTGAACTGTAAAAATAGCTAATTATGTTATTTCTTTTGGTGTGAAATGATTTTGTCATTTCACGTTATTGCACTTAAAAAGGTGTGTTTTGTGTTAAATGACTGGTGAAATTTTTTTTCCCCACTGCGGGAGTCAGAGTCATAATTCGGTCATGGATACGACCCTGGAATTTCCCTGGAAAATCAGATCAGGGCGACATCATGATAAAAGGAAATGAAAAACAAGCCATAATTCTTCTATTGCACAATCCTGTTGAAACATGCACCTACAACTGTTCGATGTTATCACAGCTGCATATTTAGTATTTTAATAAGAACCTGTTAACACACAAGTTTATGTTTGTACCTATTCAGTAAATGTTCCCATCAGTGTGGTCCGGAACGTTTTGTAAATAAGGAAGGTGTGTACGTTGTGTACTGACCTCTGAGCAGGAGCCAAAACACTCGCCCAGAGATTAAGGACGTGAATGTACTCAATTCAAACTCCCCATCTGCTTTTCGTTGCAAAAATTGAAGCAAAATGGATGATTCTGATGATTACATTTTGACCCTTATGGACCAAAAATGGGTTGAGTTTGACCCGTGCACCTCACTTTGCGCAACGCTGGTGAAGACCCCTTTCACGGAACAGATGCATTTAACATGAACAATTTTTAATGGGAGAGGACAATGGACATTGAGTATAAGGCAGTATTGCGCATTCATCCAGAAATCCTGGCGGGAACACATTCAAAAGTAGTGATCTGGATGAGGACAGGAAAACTGAATGACTATATTTCAACTTTTCTTTAAACATTTTAAACTCGAATTATTGAGTCCATTTACATTTGTAATCCAGCTCACTATATGAAACTAATAAACGACAGACTCATTACATGCAACATTTTTATTAATGTATGCATGTATGTAGTGTAGTTGTTATGTAATTTTCAATGTATTATTTGTTATCTTTTATGTTGTATTATATATTCATTTTGAATTATTACTATTTTTTTAAGTATTTATGTATGTACATTATGTATGTATGTATTTATTTATTGACTCATTTATTCATTCATTCATTCATTCATTTTATAAATTCATTAATGTATTTATGTGTTTTATTCTAAAGTTTGGAGTTTTACCTGTACATCATTTACCTAGTGTGACACTTTTAATTCTTGACTATTTGACGGTTGAAGACTGCTGCTGTCTTCCAGGAGAAACATGGCGGCTCAGACCTGCGGTGTCCTCTGACAGTGAAGATCCTGGACGCGGTTCACGGGACTCCAGCTGGACCCATGAGCTTGCGGGTGTTCAGGAGGAACACGGACGAGACCTGGACCCTGGTCGCCTCAGGGTAACTCTGCACACAGGCCACAATAACAGAACAGATATGATCATGTGTAGGGTTGGGCACCGAGAGTGCGGTTCCGGAACCGTTAAGAAGACGTTTGTATTTTGATTCTTTTTTCGATTCCTAAATGCCGGATGCGGCCCGCACAGCGGCGTCGGAAGTGTTTGGAAGGTGGGGGGGGGACACGTTTCAAAAATGCTTAGCAGCTGTCCACCCAGCGTAATAAAGCCAGGGCTTTATTACGCTTTGTGAAAAACTCAGTGAATTAAGCTCTTATGAGACGGCGCGCTCGTGTTTGCATCCACATTTAGCTTCAGCCACACCGTTAACTCCTGCCATCGCAAAGAAACCTCTCAACGCTTGTATCTTCACATTTTCCACAAACGCAGATAAAACTGAGTCAAGGGGTAAAGGAAGCAAACATTTATCCGTCAAATGACTAATTCAGATATTATTTGGTTAAGTTAGAGTCCAGACAGCGAGGTTTAACGGGCGTATTGACCGGTTGAACACTCGTGCTAGCCCGGTGCAGTTTCCCCAAACTCACGCTACATCAGTTTCATCACTCACTTTACAAACACATCCAAAACTGATGTTCCTTACCTTAAAGTTACTGGTCAGGCCCTTTGTAATGATGAAGAAGGGAAACACGCTGTCCACCTGCCGAGGACCGCAAAAAGTCCTGCTCCTCCTCCATGTAATAATCCGTAAAAAACTCCGAAAACACGATGCACGAGTCCTTGTGCTTTGGTCAAATCTGTCAGTCCGTCCAACGATAATCCTCCAGTATTCTCACTTTAGCCGTTTTTCAGCGGTTTACAGAGACGTGTTTACATTTCAGCCGCTCTGAGATGATGGTGGGCGGTGCCACATAAACACCGCTTGTGTGTGTGTGTGTGTGTGTGTGTGTGTGTGTGTGTGTGTGTGTGTGTGTGTGTGTGTGTGTGTGTGTGTGTGTGTGTGTGTGTGTGTGTGTGTGTGTGTGTGTGTGTGTGTGTGTGTGTGTGCGTGTGCGTGTGCGTGTGTGTGTGTGTGCGTTTGTGGACATATGAGGACTTTTGTATGATAACACACCTTCAATATCAGGACCTGAGGAAATGTGAGGACTTTTTTCAGGTCCCCATTTTTCCATGCATACTACAGTGTTGTAGAGGCCCAGAACAAGCTCCACACCAAAAATCAAGCATGTCCCAAAATGTCTACAAATAGTGAAAATGTGTGTCGGGGCCGAAACACTCCGTCCCAAAAAGTTTGAAGCGCCTCTCTGGTCGTGCACGGTACTACCTTAACACACTTTTAACACACACACACTTGTCCTCATATGTCACCTATTTTGTCACAAACTTAAATACATTCCCAGAGGTGGGTAGAATAGCCAAAATATTGACTCATGGTAATTTAAAAAGATACTTGAGTAGTGAGTGTGTGTTTGTAAAAAAAAAAAAAAAAAAAAAAAACTTTCAGCCAGAAGGGGCCTTTTGGAGTGGAGCTTGCATGTTCTCCTTGTGTCAGTAGATTATCTCCCTGAAAAATTGTCTTAACTCCAGTTGGAAAATCATGTTTAAATTAGAATTTAAAACATCAAAAACAAATATAAAAGTGAGGTGTCAAACATTACAAACACAATGTATAAAAATAAATAATTCTACATTAAAGTTATAATGTATTTGTCCATCTACAGAGTTACTCTCCGTGAAAGGAGTAATGATTGATAAATATTTCACTCAGACCTGAAGTGCTTGTTATACTGTAGGTCCTAATATGTCACTCAGACCTGATGTGTGTGTTGTCGGTCCTAATATCTCACTCAGACCTGATGTGTGTGTTGTAGGTCCTAATATCTCACTCAGACCTGATGTGTGTGTTGTAGGTCCTGATATCTCACTCAGACCTGATGTGTGTGTTGTAGGTCCTAATATCTCACTCAGACCTGATGTGTGTGTTATAAGTCCTAATATCTCACTCAGACCTGATGTGTGTGTTGTAGGTCCTAATATCTCACTCAGACCTGATGTGTGTGTTGTAGGTCCTAATATATCACTCAGACCTGATGTGTGTGTTGTAGGTCCTAATATGTCACTCAGACCTGATGTGTGTGTTGTCGGTCCTAATATCTCACTCAGACCTGATGTGTGTGTTGTAGGTCCTAATATCTCACTCAGACCTGATGTGTGTGTTGTAGGTCCTAATATATCACTCAGACCTGATGTGTGTGTTGTAGGTCCTAATATGTCACTCAGACCTGATGTGTGTGTTGTCGGTCCTAATATCTCACTCTGACCTGATGTGTGTGTTGTAGGTCCTAATATCTCACTCTGACCTGATGTGTGTGTTGTAGGTCCTAATATCTCACTCAGACCTGATGTGTGTGTTATAAGTCCTAATATCTCACTCAGACCTGATGTGTGTGTTGTAGGTCCTAACGCGCATTTTCACACACGTCTCTCCTGCACTTTCTTATATTCTCCGCTTCTGTTAAACCTTTCATATAAGCCCCAGACCGAGGGGCACAGGGAGTGTGTGGCTGCAAGGCCAAAGAAAAGCGTTTACTACGAGTATAACTCCCTCTGTCCTGACCCTGCTCTCAGTGGTGCTATCGCAGTAACACTTCAGACATTAAAGAATCAGTCTTTATTTAATCACCAGAACACACACACACACACACACACTTGTAACTTCCCTGCCTCCCATCGCTTTGCTCCACACTTTTCATTCTCATTCATTCATTTCTCAGCGCTCGTTGCTGAAGTGTGTGTGTGTGTGTGCACTCGTGTCCGGGGCGCGCACACACACACGTGCACACATATGTTACTATCTGCCCTGACCCTCGCTCTCAGTGTGGTGCTATTGCAATAACACTTCAGACATTCAAGAATCAGTCTCTATTTATTCGCCAGAACACACACACACAAACACACACATTCCCGCAAACCCCACAAAGTGAGGTCGTAGTTAAAAACATGAAAACTGAGGACTTGCCTTTCCCAATGTTTTAGGAGGAAGAAAAAACACTTTCTAGACACTTGATGGCGCTGCGGAGCTATACACTCCATTGAAAAAATTTTAGAACCAAGATTTAAGAAAACGTTTTGAACCATCAGAGTGGGGACAATAAGTGAAATTTGCAAAAGAAATCATGAATAGACCTTTTTTTAACTCTTTGAAGGTTTATTTAGAATTATATAGTTGGTCACATGTGCAAATGGACACAGATTATTATGTGGGATCACAGCAATTTTAATAAAACAAAGCAAAACATTTGAAAGACAGGTTTATTTGCATCTTTGTATTTTGACTTGTCCCAACAGGACAATTACAAAGGACCTAATACAAAGTGCTCTTGAACGGGACTTTAAAACATAACTGTGCACTTAACATTAAAGCAGGGCGGTCAAACTCATTCCTAAAGCGCCGCAGTGGCTGCAGGTTTTCCATCAGACCAAGCAGGAGCAGAGCAGACTCCTCCCATTTCCTCAAACCTTCAGGTTAAGACTGAACTCACTGAGGAAATGGGAGGAGTCTGTTCTGCTCCTGCTTGGTCTGATGGAAAACCTGCAGCCACTGCGGCGCTTTGGGAATGAGTTTGACACAAATACCAGCTACACAAGCTGCCTCTTGAGTCGGATAATAGTATTATACACAAAGTACTTGAGGTCCTTCCAGGTTCTGTTGATGAGGGCTGCAGACTCCTGTGTGAGGCACAGCACACAGAGCCAGGTACTTCCCCATCCTCTTCTCCACGGCTCTCCTCCTCACTCCAGGGTTTCTTTGGGTTTCTAGAAGCTTCTGATGGAGACAATAAGACACATAAAGACTTATGTTTATCCTGATGACCAGGTCTGGACCAGGTCTAAACCAGGACTGAACCAGGACTAAACCAGGTCTACCCTAGGTCTAAACACCAGGACTACCCCAGGACTGAAACAGGACTGAACCAGGTCTAAACCAGGTCTAAACCAGGTCTAAACCAGGCCTAAACCAGGCCTGAAACAGGACTAAACCAGGACTAAACCAGGTATAAACACCAGGTCTAAACACCAGGTCTAAACAGGTCTAAACACCAGGTCTAAACACCAGGTCTAAACACCAGGTCTAAACACCAGGTCTAAACACCAGGTCTAAACCAGGTCTAAACCAGGTCTAAACCAGGTCTAAACCAGGACTGAACCAGGACTAAACCAGGCCTAAACCAGGACTAAACCAGGCCTAAACCAGGTCTAAACCAGGCCTAAACCAGGACTAAACCAGGACTAAACCAGGACTAAACCAGGACTAAACCAGGTCTAAACCAGGACTGAAACAGGACTGAAACAGGACTGAAACAGGACTAAACCAGGACTAAACCAGGACTAAACCAGGACTGAACCAGGACTGAACCAGGACTGAACCAGGACTGAACCAGGTCTAAACCAGGTCTAAGCCAGGACTAAACCAGGACTAAACCAGGACTAAACCAGGTCTAAACCAGGTCTAAACCAGGTCTAAACCAGGTCTAAACCAGGACTGAAACAGGACTGAAACAGGACTGAACCAGGACTAAACCAGGACTAAACCAGGACTAAACCAGGACTGAACCAGGACTGAACCAGGACTGAACCAGGACTGAACCAGGTCTAAACCAGGTCTAAACCAGGACTAAACCAGGACTAAACCAGGTCTAAACCAGGTCTAAACCAGGTCTAAACCAGGTCTAAACCAGGTCTAAACCAGGTCTAAACCAGGTCTAAACCAGGACTGAAACAGGACTGAACCAGGACTGAACCAGGACTAAACCAGGACTGAACCAGGACTAAACAAGGACTGAACCAGGACTGAACCAGGTCTGAACCAGGTCTGAACCAAGACTAAACCAGGTCTAAACCAGGTCTAGCCTAGGTCTAAACCAGGACTAAACCAGGACTGAACCAGGACTGAACCAGGTCTAAACCAGGCCTAAACCACGTCTAAACCAGGACTAAACCAGGTCTACCCTAGGTCTAAACACCAGGACTGAACCAGGACTGAACCAGGTCTAAACCAGGTCTAAACACCAGGACTGAACCAGGTCTAAACCAGGTCTAAACCAGGACTAAACCAGGACCAGTTGTACTCACCATCTGTCCTCTTGGTCCGTTTGTTTTTCTGGGCCTTTGTGGAGGTCGGCTCTAGCTCCTCTTCATCAGACACTTCAGCACACGCTAAGAACACACAGAAAGGTCAGCAAGGACTAAACCAGGACTGAACCAGGACTGAACCAGGACTGAACCAGGTCTAAACCAGGTCTAAACCAGGACTACACCAGGACTAAACCAGGACTAAACCAGGTCTAAACCAGGACTGAAACAGGACTGAAACAGGACTAAACCAGGACTAAACCAGGTCTGAACCAGGTCTGAACCAGGTCTGAACCAGGTCTGAACCAGGACTAAACCAGGACTAAACCAGGTCTAAACCAGGTCTAGCCTAGGTCTAAACCAGGACTAAACCAGGACTGAACCAGGTCTGAACCAGGTCTGAACCAGGTCTGAACCAGGACTCAACCAAGTCTGAACCAGGACTAAACCCGGTCTGAACCAGGACTAAACCAGGACTAAACCAGGACTAAACCAGGACTAAACCAGGACTGAACCAGGACTGAACCAGGTCTACCCTAGGTCTAAACCAGGACTGAACCAGGTCTAAACCAGGTCTAAACCAGGTCTAAACCAGGTCTAAACCAGGTCTAAACCAGGTCTAAACCAGGTCTAAACCAGGTCTAAACCAGGACTGGACCAGGACTGGACCAGGACTGAACTAGGTCTAAACACCAGGACTGAACCAGGACTAAACCAGGTCTGAACCAGGACTAAACCAGGACTAAACCAGGTCTAAACCAGGTCTACTAAAAAAGGACTGAAACAGGACTAAACCAGGACTAAACCAGGACTAAACCAGGACTAAACCAGGACTGAACCAGGACTGAACCAGGTCTAAACCAGGCCTAAACCACGTCTAAACCAGGACTAAACCAGGTCTACCCTAGGTCTAAACACCAGGACTGAACCAGGTCTAAACCAGGTCTAAACACCAGGACTGAACCAGGTCTAAACCAGGTCTAAACCAGGACTAAACCAGGACCAGTTGTACTCACCATCTGTCCTCTTGGTCCGTTTGTTTTTCTGGGCCTTTGTGGAGGTCGGCTCTAGCTCCTCTTCATCAGACACTTCAGCACACGCTAAGAACACACAGAAGGGTCAGCAAGGACTAAACCAGGACTGAACCAGGACTAAACCAGGACTAAACCAGGACTAAACCAGGACTAAACCAGGACTAAACCAGGACTAAACCAGGACTCAACCAGGACTAAACCAGGACTAAACCAGGTCTAAACCAGGACTAAACCAGGTCTGAACCAGGCCTAAACCAGGACTAAACCAGGACTAAACCAGGTCTGAACCAGGACTGAACCAGGTCTAAACCAGGCCTAAACCAGGTCTAAACCATGTCTAAAAAGGACCAGAAACCAGGACTAAACCAGGTCTGAACCAGGTCTGAACCAGGACTCAACCAGGTCTGAACCAGGACTAAACCAGGTCTGAACCAGGACTAAACCAGGACTAAACCAGGACTAAACCAGGACTAAACCAGGACTAAACCAGGACTGAACCAGGACTAAACCAGGTCTACCCTAGGTCTAAACCAGGACTGAACCAGGACTAAACCAGGTCTGAACCAGGACTAAACCAGGACTAAACCAGGTCTAAACCAGGTCTGAACCAGGACTAAACCAGGACTAAACCAGGACTAAACCAGGACTAAACCAGGACTAAACCAGGACTAAACCAGGACTAAACCAGGTCTAAACCAGGTCTAAACAAGGACCAGGACTGAACCAGGACTAAACCAGGACTGAACCAGGACTGAACCAGGTCTGAACCAGGTCTGAACCAGGTCTGAACCAGGTCTAAACCAGGTCTGAACCAGGTCTGAACCAGGTCTGAACCAGGTCTGAACCAGGTCTGAACCAGGTCTGAACCAGGTCTGAACCAGGTCTAAACCAGGTCTGAACCAGGTCTGAACCAGGTCTAAACCAGGTCTGAACCAGGACTGAACCAGGTCTAAACCAGGTCTAAACCAGGTCTAAACCAGGTCTAAACCAGGTCTAAACCAGGTCTAAACCAGGACTAAACCAGGACTGGACCAGGACTAAACCAGGACTGAAACAGGACTAAACCAGGTCTAAACACCAGGACTGAACCAGGACTAAACCAGGTCTGAACCAGGACTAAACCAGGTCTAAACCAGGTCTAAAAAAGGACTGAAACAGGACTAAACCAGGTCTGAACCAAGACTAAACCAGGACTAAACCAGGTCTAAACCAGGTCTAGCCTAGGTCTAAACCAGGACTAAACCAGGACTGAACCAGGTCTAAACCAGGCCTAAACCAGGTCTAAACCAGGTCTAAACCAGGTCTACCCTAGGTCTAAACACCAGGACTGAACCAGGACTGAACCAGGTCTAAACCAGGACTAAACCAGGTCTAAACCAGGTCTAAACCAGGACTAAACCAGGACCAGTTGTACTCACCATCTGTCCTCTTGGTCCGTTTGTTTTTCTGGGCCTTTGTGGAGGTCGGCTCTAGCTCCTCTTCATCAGACACTTCAGCACACGCTAAGAACACACAGAAGGGTTAGCAAGGACTAAACCAGGACTGAACCAGGACTAAACCAGGACTAAACCAGGTCTGAACCAGGTCTAAACCAGGTCTAAACCAGGACTAAACCAGGACTAAACCAGGTCTAAACCAGGTCTGAACCAGGTCTGAACCAGGTCTGAACCAGGTCTGAACCAGGTCTGAACCAGGTCTGAACCAAGACTAAACCAGGACTAAACCAGGTCTAGCCTAGGTCTAAACCAGGACTAAACCAGGACTGAACCAGGACTGAACCAGGTCTAAACCAGGCCTAAACCAGGCCTAAACCATGTCTAAACCAGGACTAAACCAGGACTGAACCAGGTCTAAACCAGGTCTAAACACCAGGACTGAACCAGGACTGAACCAGGTCTAAACCAGGTCTAAACCAGGTCTAAACCAGGTCTAAACCAGGTCTAAACCAGGTCTAAACCAGGTCTAAACCAGGTCTAAACCAGGTCTGGACCAGGACTGGACCAGGTCTAAACCAGGTCTAAACCAGGTCTAAACCAGGTCTAAACCAGGTCTAAACCAGGTCTAAACCAGGACTAAACCAGGACTAAACCAGGACTAAAAAAAGGACTGAAACAGGACTAAAAAAAGGACTGAACCAGGTCTGAACCAAGACTAAACCAGGACTAAACCAGGTCTAAACCAGGTCTAGCCTAGGTCTAAACCAGGACTAAACCAGGACTGAACCAGGACTGAACCAGGTCTGAACCAGGACTGAACCAGGACTAAACCAGGACTAAACCAGGACTGAACCAGGACTGAACCAGGTCTGAACCAGGACTGAACCAGGACTAAACCAGGACTAAACCAGGACTAAACCAGGTCTGAACCAGGTCTGCCCCAGGTCTGAACCAGGTCTGAACCAAGACTAAACCAGGACTAAACCAGGTCTAGCCTAGGTCTAAACCAGGACTAAACCAGGACTGAACCAGGACTGAACCAGGTCTAAACCAGGCCTAAACCAGGCCTGAACCAGGACTGAACCAGGATTGAACCAGGACTGAACCAGGTCTAAACCAGGACTAACCAGGTCTAAACCAGGTTTAAACCAGGTCTAAACCAGGACTGGACCAGGACTGAACCAGGTCTAAACCAGGTCTAAACCAGGTCTAAACACCAGGACTACAGTAGGTCCCATTCCGTTTTGTCGCCTTTCACGCGTGAATCACACGAGACTCACGTGTGATTCACGCGTCTTTTATTTTCCCCCCTCCCAGTGACGTTGCAATGACCAAAACAACCACCCGGTGGCACTTGTGAGCAGGGTTACATTGGCGTCTCATCGCTCTTTCTTCTCTCTTCACTGGACAACTATCTGTGGCTTTAAGCCTAGCGTACTGTACATCGGACTGGCAACTGATTATATCCGTCGCCTACTGTATGAGTTTCTGCCCCGCGCACATCGACAATCTGGTTAAAAAGGGGGCAACTCCTTGTAGCAGGCCAGTCTCTGGAATAACCCGCAGACATTAAAACTACTGCATATAACGTAAACTTTTGCATCACGTTGGTGATCTTTCCAAAAAGAGAGAATATCGTTAAGGAAAGAGAAACTATTGGTAATATAACGCTGAACGTTATTTGACTCAAACAGCTCCGCTGGTGTCTCCTCCCACTCAGAAAAAAAGCAGACGCCTTTTCTCTGGCATCTCTAACATTTATAATAAATACATAAATATAACAATCATAATGAAGATGCTTTCAAATAATTTAGCAAGCTGTAATTCATTTATTTTAACTCCCTGCCAAACTTCTCTCGCTGCTCTCTCCTCCGCAAACCACTAAATGAGGAAAAGGGAATATTCACTCAATCTATTTTGAATGTTACACATACAATATTAATATAGTCTAAGCACGTGTACCACATGTAGCCCGTGTATTTACCACAGACTGTAAGTATTAAAGTAATGAGGCCCCTGCTTTAGGCCTCTGCTGTGAGGCCCACACACTGTAAATCCTTATATCCGCCTCACCTAAAATTATTGATCATACTTTACTTGATTTTTCTCCAAGTTTACTGTTCACCCACACACTATTAGTAACCTTTACAATTCATGTCAAAATCTAACTTTTAAATGACATAGTTGAATTTCATTTCATTTCATAAGTGTTGGTGTGTATCATCTATGGTATATAATCAGGGGGTTATATTTTCTAAAAAAAGATTAGAACGCAACATTTAGTTAATAATGTGTGTATAAAAATAAAAAATATTGAAATTATGACTTTAAACAAAAAAGTCTAATGACTTGAGAGGCGAAGAACAAAATTGGGAAGGCCAAGAAAAAAACTGGTAGGCACCGGCCTACCCAGGCCTATCCCTGGCCGCGGCTGGGCCGTGCATGTGAATGTATTTTATGTTTAAATGTGTTTCTATTGAATGCTATTTCAAAGTAAGAGCATAACAGACAACATACTGTATACATATTTTGTACTAATGGTAATCTTTATAATTAAATTGCATTAACGCAGGTGTGTCAAAGTAAGCAGTACTGCAGGGCTGCTCTGTGCACCTTTTTAGTAAACTTTTAACAACTTTTTAGCGCGTTTTTATTGTTCAGTTTTTTAATATATCTGAGTGTTTTATCTTTTTAATTCAGTGGTTTCAGCAAATAGCACTTAGTCCCGACTGAAACCCACTAGTAGCACAGAGGCTAACACAAGCTAACGAGGACATGGAAAGTGACAATGAAATTGGCTCAAACATGCACAATATTAGTCGCCTCACCTTGGAGCTCCGTGAGAGCGACCGTGCCACCATTGCAGATCTACGAAAAGAAGTCCTTCGTCTCACCGCAGAGTTGAATGAGAAACAATCTCTAGTGTCCAAACTTTTTGAAGTCGCTGGTGGGCAGCATTCACGGCTGATGTCACTGAGCGCTGCATATTGTGACACTGTCGTGTGGGAGAGATCCGTCAGCTCCGGACCCTCCTGTTCTACACCTAAGCGCCCGGTTCCGAACAACGAGCCCGCGGATTCCGAGGAGCCATCCTGCGCCGTGGCCCATGTCCTGAGTCTGGCAAACCGCTATGCAGCCCTCTCCACTGACATCCCGGCCCCCTCAGCAGAATCCCTGGACACTGCAGCGTACTCTACTGCTCGAGGATCCAAGTCCACTGCGAGGAAAACGCTCCTAAAGGAAGCAGTCCTCAGGCGAAAGAGCGGTCCACCAGCCATGTTGACCCCAGTGCAGCAGCCTCAGACTGGGGTAGCGAGCCATCATCACCACCGCTCACCTCCACCGGGTCAGCAGCAGCGCCCAGAGCCAGCCCCTCTCACCGCTCCAGCGTCCCCGAGCACACAGCGTGGGTCGCCTGTAGCTGAGAGTCAGCACCCCCGCTCCTCCTCTCCATGTGTTCAGCGGCGCTCAGGCTCGGGTCCTGCTTCGGGTGAACCCGCTGGTTCCGTCCACCGAGCTCCTTCTCCGAGGCCACTCTTCGCCCCGACCACTCTGATTATTGGAGATTCCATCGTGAGACACGTCCGCTTCTTCAACGCGGTCACTCGCTGTATTCCCGGAGCTACTGTACCAGACCTGCTCATACGTCTCCCTCCTCTGCTTCAGTCCCTGCCTGATACCGTTTCCAAGGTAGTCGTGCATGTGGGAATTAACGACATGAAACTTCAGCAGTCAGAAGTCACTAAGAAACATTTTATGGATCTGTTCCACCTCCTTCAATCCTCCGGACTATCTGTTTTTATTTCTGGTCCAATCCAGACTGTAAACAGAGGCGACTGCCTCTACAGTCGTGTTGTGGCGCTGCATGTGTGGCTTCAGCTCTTTTAACTTTGTCTTTGTGAATAACTTTGCCCTTTTCTGGAAACGTTACGAAGCCTATCGTCCAGACGGATTACACCCAAACAGATACGGTAGCAGCCTGTTGATGGATTACATACGTTATGTTGTTCAGCGTTCCCCGAGGGGGGCGTGACTGTTTACATCTGAGCCCCCTCGGACCCCACCGCACTCCCCCGCCTCCTGCTCACCAGCACCGGGTGAGTACAACGGTGCAAACACTGCTCCCTGTCCGTCTGGCAGTGCATTACCAGTCCAAACACTGAACTGTGCTGACTCCCTTCTGACTCTGGGAGCTAAAGAACAACAAGGGTTTTCACATTTTAGGCCAATTGAGACTGTGTGTGTTCCTCGCACCAGCTCAAAAATGTTTTTAAATTCTAAAAAACGAAATCAAAACAGGACAGCAGTTAGACGGTCCAACTCTGCAAATCTAATTTCTGTTCCCTGTAGAAATCAATCAACCACATTAATCGACTCTGACGTTATTTTTAAACTTGCTATGCTTAATGTCAGATCTCTATGTAACAAATCATTTTTAATTAATAATTTTATCACTTCTTATGATCTTGATTTTATGCTTATGGCTGAAACATGGCTGGACCAAAATACAGGAAATGCAGTTCTAATAGAAGCAACACCACCCAATTTTAAATTCGAATCCGAAATACGAGAAAACAAAAGGGGGGGAGGCATAGCTGCAGTTTTTAGAGAGCACTTTGTCTCCCATAGAATGCCCCTTGGAAATTTTTCATCGTTTGAGTATATTTCTTTTAAAATGGAACAAAAGCAATCTTCTACTCTTTTCATTGTCCTGTACAGGCCACCACAGTCATGTTGCGATTTTATTGACCATTTTACTGAACTACTTTCATTCGTGTGCACAGATTTTGATAGTTTAGTTATTACAGGTGATTTTAATGTACATGTTGATAATGTTGATGACAGAAATGCAAAGGAGCTGGCTTCTGTATTTGAGACCTTTGGTTTCATTCAGCACGTGAGTGGCCCCACCCACAGCAGGGGGCACACTCTTGACCTGCTAATTACAAAGGGGGTTAATGTATCAAATGTTAATGTAGTTGATGTTGCTTTGTCAGATCATTTCTGTGTATTTTTTGACATGTGTTTTGCTAGCAAACCACCAGCTGAATTTACAACTGTTAGAAGAAGACACATACATGAAAACACAAGTGAACTGTTCATGGGAATGCTAAATTTTGAGAAAACTCCATGCTCTACTGTTGATGAATTGTATAACTCTGTCACCACCAGTGTTCTGACTGTTCTGGACGCCATTGCTCCTGTGACGGTTAAAATAGTTACCAGTAAGAAAAAGGCCCCATGGACTAAGGCAGACTCGGTTAGGGCACAGAAGCAAGAGTGCCGGAGGGCCGAACGGAAGTGGCGAAAGTCCAATTTCCAGGGCGATTATGAAATCTTTAAAGATGAGTTGGGTGAATTTAACCGGGTTCTACGTAGAACAAGAGAAATGTATTTTTCTGACATTATTGGAGGTTGCAGTAACAATTTTCGTGTTATGTTTTCAACAGTTGGTAGATTAACGAACCCCCCTGTAAAGTTGCCCCTAGAATTTTCCTCTAAATCTAGGTGTAATGAGTTCGCACAGTTTTTCGATGACAAAGTACAAGGAATCAAAAACACTATCACCTCCACAGCACGTATAACAATGCAACAGCCAGAGAAGCTTTCTGAGCTAACTCACTTTGCACCTGTGGATACTGAAACTATCAAAAAGATAATCATGAGTCTGAGCTCCTCCACATGTAGCCTGGATATATTGCCCTCTAAATTTCTGAAGTCCGTCCTGAGCAGTTTGTTACCTTCACTGACACAAATAGTAAACATGTCTCTGTCGTCAGGAACATTTCCTATGGCCCTAAAAACAGCAGTCATAAGACCTCTCCTAAAAAAGAGCAGTCTGGATCCTGCGGGACTTCAAAATTATCGCCCCATATCGAATCTGCCGTTTATTGGAAAAATTCTTGAAAAAGTGGCCTCCCAACAACTTACTGAATTTTTAACAATGAATAATTCTTTTGATATGTTCCAGTCTGGGTTTAGACCCCACCACAGCACTGAGACCGCTCTAGTGAAGGTAACAAACGACATTCGACTTCACACTGATGCAGATAAAGTCACAGTTTTGGTCATGTTAGATCTTAGTGCCGCGTTCGACACTGTCGACCATGAGATCCTCATGCAGAGACTGGAGGACTGGGCTGGTGTCACTGGCACAGCCCTAGACTGGTTTAGGTCTTACCTGGAGGATAGGAAGTACTCTGTGGAGATTGGAGACTGCGTCTCAGATGATGTGGCCCTGACCTGTGGTGTACCACAGGGGTCGATCCTGGGACCTCTCCTATTTAATCTCTACATGCTGCCGTTAGGTCAGTTAATACAAAGAAACAAAGTGTCCTACCACAATTACGCTGACGACACTCAGATCTATGTCTCACTGACTGCAGGAGAACATGGACCACTGGATTTGCTCCTTCACTGTATCCAACAGATCAGTGACTGGATGCAAAATAATTTCCTCCAGCTAAATACAGACAAAACCGAAATCATTGTCTTTGGTCCCCAGAAACAAAGAGAGGGCGTCATTTGTCAACTTCAGTCTCTCTCCCTACTTCCTTCAGACAAGGTCAGAAATTTGGGGGTAATACTGGACTCAGACCTAAATTTCAATAGCCACATAAAATCAATAACATCAACAGCTTTTTACCATCTGAAGAACATTGCCAAAGTTAGAAATATAGTGTCCAGGGCAGACTTGGAGATTCTTGTCCATGCATTTGTCTCCAGCAGGCTAGACTACTGCAATGGCCTGCTTACAGGTCTGTCCAAACAGACCTGTAAGCAGCTGCAGTACATCCAAAATGCAGCAGCTAGAGTCCTGACAGGAACCAGGAAGTATGACCATATTAGTCCGGTCCTCAGGTCTCTGCACTGGCTTCCTGTGGCTCAAAGAATAGATTTTAAAACGGCTCTGCTTGTGTACAAGTCTCTCCATGGCCTTGCACCAGAATACATTAGTGACATGTTGGTGTCATATGAACCAGCCCGGACTCTGAGGAGCACAGGGACTGGCCTCCTGCTGGTGCCCAGAGTGAGAACCAAACATGGGGAGGCTGCGTTTCAGATCCATGCAGCTAAGATCTGGAACAATCTCCCTGAAAATGTGAGGGAGGCGTCTACTCTGTCAATGTTCAAATCCAGGTTAAAGACTGTTCTGTTTGCCTGTGCATACAACTGAAGGATTTTATCTCCATTTTTAATGCACTGCTGTCATTTATTTATTTATTTAAATTTCTTGTGTAATTTTGAAAGTTTTAATGGTTTTATTCTTTTGTGTGATTTTAATGTTTTAATTGTGTTTTAATCTTTTGTGTGATTTTAATGTTTTAATTGTGATTCTGGTGTTTGTTTTATGTGATGATTTGTGATGTGGACTGTGAAGCGCTTTGTGTTGCCATGTGTATGAAAGGCGCTCTACAAATAAACTTTGATTGATTGAACTTTGATAACGTATATATTTAAAATAATGATGTATTGTCTACACTGTAAACCCTGACAAGTAAAGTTTACTTGAAAAAACCATGGAAATAAATTGCGTATTAACTTCACTTGAATTCCTCGAGTACATCGTTTACTTGATATTACCAAGTAAACTCAGGTGATTGCAATAAAGTTTAAATTTCTACTTATGCTCCGACTGGGAATCGTACTCAGAACCTTTTGGTTGAGAGGTAATGGTGCTACCCACTCAGCCACCAGGACACCCTGCCATTGTCACACCTAACACACCACATAACTTGCAAAAGTGCATCACCTTCTCAAAATGAAAAGTTTATTCCTCAAAAGCAAGTCTTCATGTCAATGAAATTGTCTGTGTCGTCAAAATTATAAGTCTTGACAACATTGAGTATGAACAACAGTCAAATGACTTAGTCATGTTTTCATTGTGACACTTTACTCTCTCTGCTTTTTTCAAAGCAAAAAATCAGATCTTGGTGAGCACTAAACACTGTACAGCTGAATACTACAGTAAAGTTACACACGACTGTATTTAGTGAGAGTAAAATACACATTTATATGTACTGTGTGTGTGTGTGTATGCATGTATGTATCGATGTATGTCTTTCACATATTTACTGCATTTGCATGACCAAAGCCATGAAATGAGCTTTAGTTTTACAGGGAGAAATTATTCAGTTGTGATAAGTTTTATTTTGACTAACAGGACAGAAGCCAATGACAAATTATGTTATAAAACAGAGAATTGTATGAAAGTAACTGATACATGAACAAAAGCATTTGTAATCTGTTCAAACGAGAAACTGCTGCGATTATGTCACACGTGACTCAGTGTTTTGTATGTTTGTTCTACGTAAATACTG